CGCTGTTCGGCCTGGGGAGTTAAAATGATGGAGTCCTATCCTGACTGGGGCGTGCATCCGGGGGAGTGCGACGCTTGCTCAGGGTAGGAGGATAGGCATTCCCGGGGGGAACTGATAGTTTTGGCCATTGGTAGGCATCTCCCCGGAGGGATTGTACTTCTCGTTTCATGAGACACTAGAAGAGAAGCCATCTTACCCCCGCTCATCGAGGTCATGAGCGAGGTTATAGTCTTGCGTAATTATGAGAATCAGCATAAGGCAACGACGCGGGTTAAGACACAGGCTCAAGGCCATAGGTGGTGCCGTTGGACGAATGAATGGATGTTCCCTGCGTCACGGGGTGCTAACGCAAGGGGGAGTCGCTACTCGAATGCAGCTGGTGCGGAGTAGGACGTTTTCTGAGGGCGTTACCTCGATTCCCCTACTGCCTGGACAGTCTTCGCATTGTGCTTACGCGGAAGTTAAGGGGTTTTGAAAACGTGCTTGTAACATACCCTGGAGGGAAAGAGGTCGGAAAATTATCAGGAAAAGAAAGCCTGCGAGTCGGTGATCTCAGTTCCTGTTGTGCCTGAGTGGCAAGCGTGTCCTAGTGAGGAACACACTGATTTGTCGCTCGGCCCTTTGGTGGGGACTCGCGGGAAAGACCCGTAGGTCAGAGAGGTCTGAGCCCTAGGACCCCGTGGGGGTCTTGCCCCGGGAGCGACCAAGTTTGCGGGGAAGCGTGCTCAGGATGTGCGCGGTCTGCAGAGGGAGCTGGCACGAGGGGAGCCACCGGGGCCTGTTGGACTGGAGTCCTAAATTCTCGGAGGAATGGTGCCTCTGAGGACGGGCAAGTCAGCGGGGGAGCATGCCAAGAAAATTAGGGACTTGAAGGAGGTTATAGACACGGCGGAGGAAGAGAATTATTCGGTTGATGCGCAGTCGGAAAATTAAGTAAAAGCAAGCAAGAAATCAGGCGATCAAGTAAGCAAGAAATAAAACAAACAAGCAAGAAATCAGCAAATCAATCAAGAAATCAAGCAATCAAGCAAGCATGAAAGACCTTAGCGGTCGGGACCGGGTTATGGGCGGTCACATTTTGACCAAGGTCATGGGTACTGAAAAACCTATCGCGGGGCCCGTGCTGCCCAGACGGTTACGTTCGACACACAGGCGGGACCGTTTTGCACCCCCTCCCCGAAGTCGACTTCTCATGGGTGGCACGCTTGCAGTTATCCTGTAAGGGCACAGAATTCATACTGTCGTGATCGTTCGTCAATTGATCTTCAGAAGACCCTTGGTAAGATCAGTGGTCTCTCTTCGAATGTTCCTGCACAAATCTTTGGAGTTTGGCGAGTGCGGTCCACGTGGCGAGCCCCTGGTGGTTCGAATCATAGCGTGTCACTTCATGCAGTGTGCGCTGCTTTCTTGAGAGTCACCGGTCGTCTTTTCTGCTGTGGCGGACTCCCTCTCTCTTCGCATTAAATGTGCATCACTTCCCACGCACGGCTCGAAAGACTGGTAATTACTAGTTTTTCACTGACTTTTGGCTTTCTCCGACCGACGCAAATCCTCCCGCCTGCCTCTTCGATATCTTCTTCTACTATAAAATCGGGAAACTCGCAGTTCCGCATATTTCTTCTACTATAAAATCTTTTTTCTACCACACATCTCTCTTCTCATTAGATGTCAGCTTCAAGTTCGTCGTCCGGCGAATGACGTGCTTGCTATTTCTAGGCCAGCGGTGAGGTCCAGAATACCGCCAGTATTTCCTCGAAACCTGTCCCCGTTGATTTCTCGTGGGTTGGGAGCGAGGTCGAGGAGATCGCCGGGGCGCCCTCGATGTCCAACCCTGCGGACCGTCCTCCTTCTGCTTGTACGCCGGACTCGCTGGAGAAAGTCTTGTCGGCCAACCTTCCCTACTCCTCTGGGCTCAACGCCACTTTCCCCGGTAAATGGGACCGGGAAAACCGACCTCCGCGACGCTGCATTGTGATCCACGACAAGTACTTCCTGTACGGCTTCCAGGGCAGTCTCCCTTAGATGGTGGTCGACTTTTACCGGTTCGTCGGCATCTGCCCCAGCCATCTCCATCTTTCTGCGAGGGGACTCCTCTACGCCTACCAAGACCTCTCGGGCGACCGCTCTGGGAGCCGCGACTGGTGGGAGCAGTACATCTTGTGGGCGGTGCCACCGGAGGTCAATGCCAGCTTACCTGGATGCCGAGGGGTACGATTCTTCTACTACCGCCGCCCTTTTCTTTCGAGTTTAATACTCGATCATCCTCTCATTGCTGTCTTTTTTTTTCTTTTTCAGGCTCCATGACGCCGGCGGCCTCTGAGCGGGTCGATCCGCACCGCCTGCTCGGGAAGCCCAAACGGTTTTGGTCGTTCGACTTCATGCTCTCTCCGCCGAGCATCAGGGTGAGTTCACTCGTCCTCCCATCTGGTATAGCCCCGGAGGTCTCAGTTAGTTATTCTGATCCTTCTGCCTATGGTTCTGCACTGGCTCCTCGATTCTGACTTGCAGATCTTATCTTCGTAGGTTCTCGGAATCGGAACGAGGAGATTTGGGACCTCTACGCCCACGACGGCTGCCTGCCCCTAGCAAGGTTTCTACGGGCCACCCAGACGACGCCTGTCTAAACACCGTGCCGGAGGCCTCGAGCCGACTCTTCCAAGGGGGAAGCCTCGTCTCGGCCCTCGCGCCGATAGCACCTCACCGGGTCTCCCGTGGTGAGGGCGTTGTGATCCCCGGGTCCTTTTTCGGCCCTTCCTGCTCACTACTCTTCTGAGTCGGCCTCAACTGCCAGCGGCGGGGCTCCTGGAGATTCCGATGTTCCAGAGTACTTGGAGAGCGTCGAAAGGTCTAAAGCCACACGAGCCGCTACTCTGATCCCTGCTGGCCCGGTTTCACTGCGTTTCTTTGGAGTCGGAGCCGATGTTCGTGCCCTCTCGTCCGACCGCTTGCTCAACCCGTGAGCTCACCGGTTAGCGGCTAACCGCCTCGGAGCTTACCTAGTCGATGGACGTGGTAAGCTACTTTCTCGGGATGTCTTCCTCTGCTTTTCCGGTTTTTTACCTTTGTCTCACTGGTTTCTTTTTATCTTCTGACAGAGCTAGCGCTTGCTCGAGAAGTTGGAGCATGAGCTCCACACGGCCGAACATCACGAGTGCGGTCTTGCTGATAGGGCCAGCGAGCTTCAGGCCGAACTCCTGGTGACCCAACCCGAAGCCTAAACTTCCGCCTAAGGGGAGGATCTTAGCGCTGAGAAGGGACGCCTGCCCTTGGCGCTCGCGGAAAGCCAATGGGATCTGGAAGTCCACAACTTGGAGGTGGAGACGCTCCGCCAAACCCTCACGATGTACCGAGGGTTTGCTCTGAGGGCCGAGGTGGACTTGGCGCTGATGGCGGCTGAGGCTTTTTCGATGAGCCATACCATGATCTGCAATCTCAGGCGGGAGCTCGAGGAAGAAAGGAGACACAGCAGGTCACGAGGACCAGGCACTTTGGGGGCGGCTGGAGACACTAGAGGCGCAGGCCCTTCTTCACCGGCAGGACCTTCGCGTCTGCCGAGTTTTTAAATAGTTTCTTCATTTTGGGGACTCGTCTTTTGTATATTTCATCTTCGAATCTGAACCGGTGGCTGCTTTTAGCCTGTTTTTCTTTTAAAGTGCACCTCGTTTAAGTTCGCATATCTTCGTCTCTTGCACCTTTTTTGCATTTATCTCTTCTTTGCGGATCCGGAGTCTCGGTTTCGGGGCCAATGTACGTAATGGTCCCGAAGCCTCGAGACGGTTGAGCAGAACCGTAGCCTGCTCGACCCGCATATTTTGTGCAGCTAACTTCGAGTGCTTCTTTTCCCTCGTGGAACGTTCACCGGTGATCCTCCTCTTTCTAACACCAACTATTCAGGAGCAAATTTTGGGATATCACGTGGAGGTGTGTGGTTCGTCGGGGTTGGAGCTGAGCCTCCGATTTTCATCCTCTAGGGAAAAGGCGGTGAGTCATCGTTCAGGGACGATGGGATGAGCGTCGTGCTCGGTCCTGTTAACACTCAAACAAGCGTCAGGCGAGCCTTCGGGAGGACCGAAAGGGAATTTCCCTTCCGAAGGTTCTCCGACGCCTAAGTCAGTGGACATCCTACCGGGAACAGGTACTCGGGAGGAGAATTTTCTATTGGTTAGTCATGAGAAATCTCGTCTGGGGATCGAGGTTTCTATCTGCTTTCGGGTGTTTCAAAGAGGGTTCCTACTCATCGAAAGGAAAACGAAGCGGATACAAAGACGAGGTTCCGAGTTAGGAATGACTTAACCTGGTCGGTATTCATCCGGGAAGAACATGAAGTTCACCTGCGATCCTGTTGTATAGCCAGGGCGACTACCTTAGATATCGGTTGATGCCCTCTCTTTCTCCTTCTTTTCTCTCTCTCCCCCCCTCCCCCTTCTCTTGAAGGGTTTGCCTCATATTTATCTACTTGTGGTTCTTTCGTTTTGTCCCTTCCATGTAGCACACCCAGGGAACAGATGGGAATAATGATTCTGGCGTGTTTGGAGAAATCCGTCAACTACCCCAAAACAGTACGCAAGAGTGGGTTAGCCAGACATAACGTATATCAACATCCGATGCAATCTAGGTCCACATACTGTACTCTTCTTCGATCTGATAAAATAGGTCTACATATTGTACTCTCCTTCGATCCGACAAAATACGTCCCAACAACAACTATCTTTAAGGTTATTATCATTGAATATGGCACGTAAGATCCGAAAAAAAAGAAGGCAGCTGATTCACAAATTAAATAATTTCTATTCATTAGTTCAATCATTTATTTTTTTATTGGAAAATTCGTTCAATTATTTAAGTTGTTTTAAATGGTGGCTCTTTAACAACTGTTTCCTCTAAAGCTTTGTAATTTTTTGTTTTTTTGTAAGAAAAAACAAACTAGGGGCTGTATTAGACTTTTGTATTATATACTGTATTATACAAAAGTATAATATAGTTTATAGTATTCATCACACATGCAACGTAACCACAAGAACGTGTACGGGCGATACGAATTCTTGTTTGCTTTTTCCAATTAAGTGTGCAGATCATATTACAGTTATTCTAAAGTCTAAGTGCAGTGCTTCCCCACTAATTAACCACCGTCACCATCAAAACTTTAATACTCGATATATATTGTTTCCTTTTTAATGCTCAAAATAATAAATCAGTTTAGTTAACGGTTTAAAAAAAAGAATTTGTTCCGATCTGCTTCTCTAGTGTCTGGCGCTCTTCGTAGGCACTGTGAAAAGTTTATAGTTCATATTTTTCCTTTGGTTTGTTAGGTGTCGTGTTTTTCAGCGGTATTCATGGTTTATTTTTGCAGATCTGGCCGGATTTTGGTGGATGCGAGGTTAGTGGTTCCGGATCTATTGATTTACGGTGTGGTTTGTCCACTTTAGCCATCTCCTCTCGTCTTTCATTCAAGATCTGTAGCTAGATTTGTATTTTACCGGTTCCGAGTCTTGCTTTGGCCTCCAAGCTTCGTTTTACTTCGTGGAGTTCGCTTTGGTTTGTTCCCCCTCGGTTCGATCTTCTCTGTTCTCGTTCTTGGAGTACGGTGTTATCTGGGTTGGTTCGTTCCTCCTTGCCGCTTCCTTTCTTTCTGATCGAGAACTCCTTTTTCAGTGGTTCAACCGTTGTTTCATCGACTTTGCCGTATCCGGAGGATTTTGTGTTTCTGTCTTGCCGGATTATGAAGCCTTGGATTTTGAGTTGAAAGGTGGTTTGTGTGTTTCTTGCAGGAGGTTTTAGTTATCGATGGTTGCCGTGGGGATCTTCTGTATGGGTTTTTTTGAAAGGTTCTCCAGAAGTTTAGTTGTTTGTTAGGTTGGGCTTTCTTTGGTACTGGAGTAAGTTGTGGTATCTGGTTTTCGGTTTTTAATTATGAGTTCAATCCATGTATCACTTCTCTGTATCCTTCATCTGTATTGTATCCTTCATCTGTATCTTTCCTCTGTATCATTCCACTGTTTTAATAAAATTCCAGATGACAAAAAAAAAAAACATTTTAAAACTTAGTTCAAGTTGGTGGAGCAAGTTGAAGTTTATTTGGTTTTAACAAGTTCAAGTTGGTGTACACTGAAGCATATGATTAGCAAAATATTTTAACTTAAAAGTTACAAAAAATAATTGTTGTCAAAAAAAAAACTACATAAAATAATTAACCTTCATTCTGTGTAAGTGTAATCAATTTAATAAAAAATTCCAAGGTCACGACCATCTCTATATATTCCCCAACTCTAAAAATCCACCACGTCCTCGTCACTTCACACAATAGAAAGAGACACAAAACACCAAACCATCACATAGACAAAACACAGCACAAAACCCATTTTCTTGTTATCTGTCTTTCTATATCCGCCATGGAAGCCAAGAAGTCGATCAAGATAAAAGAGATCGTTAAGCTTCAACAGATCCTCAAGAAATGGCGGAAACAAGCAAATGCATCAAAAGCAGCCAACAACAACAACGAAGACAACAGCAGCAGCAATGGCGCAGGAAGCAAGAGCATCAAGTTTCTGAAGAGGACACTTTCGTTTACAGATGCAACAGCTGTGCCTAAAGGATATGTAGCCGTCTCGGTCGGGTTAGAGAAGAAGAGGTACACAATACCAACAGAGTACCTTAGCCACCAAGCTTTCCATGTTCTTCTCCGTGAAGCAGAAGAAGAGTTTGGGTTTCAACAAGCAGGTGTCTTGAGGATACCTTGTGAAGTTGCTGTTTTCGAGAGCATATTGAAGATAATGGAGGAGACGACAACAACAGCTAAACAGGATTGTAAATTTAATGCAGCAACAGATGACAGGAAGAGTTACAGGCATCCATCGGATTGTCCTCGGACTCCTTCACACCAACCTCACAGCCCAATGTGCAGATAGTTTTTGTTCATTAATGCTTTGCTTCTGCATCTTCTTCCTCCTCTTTTGTTGACTTGAGCCCTTCTGCTTATTTCCATGTTCCCACTTTTTCTCTAGGGATTTGGATTTGTGTGCTTATATCTTCTGAGAGAGAGAGAGAGAAGAGAGATATTTCCTAATAATGGAATGTACAAAACGATCATTGAATTTGAAATGAGGACCTCTGTTCATGGAGAGTCGCTGCTTTTTTTTTTCTCTCTCTGCTCTGCTTTCGATTTTTGTTGTGGTTACCTCTGAGCTCTGACTGATGAAAACTAAAAAATGACTTTGTCAGATTCTCTGGTGAAATTTCTCATAAGAACCCACCGGGCTATAACCATTGATATAAGTATAAGTATAACCATCTTTTCTTGATGAAAAATGCAGTAGCCTCGTGTGCAAGAACTAATCAAATACTGTATAAAGTGAATCCAGCGAAAAAAAACAATCCCCTTTCACCTTAGTTTTCCTGATGTAACCGAACGTTTTGGATATCTATTAGTTTGGAATATCATACAAGTTGGTCTATAATCTCAGCAGAAAGAATCTAATGAAACTGGAGGAGAATGAGTCACATGGATTCAACATCTGAATTTTGTCATTTAACTCTAAGCAAAAATCAAGAAGAACCCAAAATTATATGTTGTTGATTAAGAAATAAGAAGAGACAATAATAAATAACAAAGGAATGGTTCATGTTTCTTTTTGTGCAGCTTGCGTTGTTTCCGGAACAACCATGTGAAATGAAGATGCAATTATGTTAAAGTATTCAGAGATTAAAAATCAACAGAATAATCAATAATTGGAATTGTACTACTAATCACCAACTGGAATGTTGTTGTTAAACTATTCAAAGTGAAAAAGTACGGCATCCTAAGCTTCTGTTACGGAAACTAAAGCTATAATAAAGATATTTAGTAATATAGTAAGCTAATGACAGAGTCGTATGAATCTTTTATGTAAACTAAGTAGCTCCATTATTATGTTCACATGCATATACATTCATCTCTAACGAGTACGGCAAATCAAAAGGACTAATTTGACCATCCCCTAAACCAATCAAGATTCAAGAAAGGGAGAGAGAGAGAGAGATGTTCATGGAATCATATGTTGGTTCTCTGCCTTATGATTAATGAGGGTCAAAGTCAAAAACATAAACATCCAAGATTCGAGATCCGATAAATCAGACAAAGGCCACATGACATCTGTACCTGAGGATTAAATACCAGCAAAATTTCTAAACTAATAGCTATATACATGTGCACTTAATCTCCTGAACATGATATCAAGGATAATGAATAAGGAGACTTGAGACTTTATAAAAAAACGACAGCAAGATCCAGCCGCAGATTAACAAGAACAACCATATGCGTTGGAATCATAAAAAACCGTTGGAGAGTGTACGTCCATGGCTCTGCTTAAAAGACAAGAGAATCCCATTTTTCTAATGGAATGAATCAATGAATGCATATATGTATCCACAGAGACACATTGCAGACAAGAAAGCAACCAGGAAAGGTTCGTAAGCCAGGTTTACACATGAACATAGAGATCAGTGAAGAAGCCAATGCAATCACTTATCTGATATAATGTTACAAATGTGCTTATACATGAGCTTAGAACAAAAGTTCATCGCCGTCTTCTGGATTAGGAAATGTGACACACTTGAACACTTTACACTTTTTACACAACACATATCCCACCTGTCATGTTCAAGAGAATCATTTCATAGCTTCATTTTGTGGACAAATCACAAACAATTGGTAATAATTTTAGGTTTGTAATCGAACTTACAGCTCTACAAGTTGGGCATCGACGATAGATTCTCTTGTTCTCAGATTTCACATTTGTTTTCTGTCCTTTACAGAAATCGCAGAGCAACCATCCTTTCCCGTTACAGTCCTCACACAGAATCACAGCTCCGTCGTCTCCCTTCACGGAAAATCCTCTCAGTCAATTTCCAATCCAAAACAATCCGATTTCAGTTTTCATCGAGTCGTCATTTGGTACCTGCGACTGCTCGATCTGGAGCTCTTGTTGCTGAAGTGGAACGCATCGAAAAGTCGGGTTCAAGAGATAACGGTGACGTCGACGCGAAGTGGATGAAGCCAGCGACGGCGACGGCGACGGCGACGGCGATGGAATGAGCCGTAAATAACATGATTTCGGAGGCTGTAACGTTATCCAAGTCGTCGCCATTTTTTGCTTTCTTCCCCCAATCCAACTTCCGTGGCGGTTGATTCTCTCGACACAATTTCCGCGGTTGCACTAATAAATGGGCCGAGAATGGGTTAAATCAAAGCCCATTAACATAGATCATACATAAAAACCCATAAACAGGAAGCTTTGACCAATGATAGTACTTATTAGACCAAGTTGTGTTCTTCATTTTGCTTTTTAATTACATACATCTTGTCAAATCCATATCCACTACTGTGGAAATATACACAAATCGTAAATCATCCATCTCAAACATAGCTTCATAGCAATTGAGCTCTTGCAAAAGAAAAATACAAACAGACAATCGAAGCTACAACGTTTTCTGCAACTGTTTTCTTATTATATCTTGAAATATCACATAATGCATTCATGAAGAATAATTAACCATTCCTAGAGGAAATCCAAAATACCAATAATGTATTTACCCAATCAAGTAGTGATCTCCATTTGATTGTACTATTACAAGATCTCACATTTCATGTCTCAGATTTCCGGTAACTTCAACTCTTCTGCAAATTCTTTAGTCATCTTCAAGAAACCTTCCCTGTGAATTTGCTTCCATTCCTTTTGAAAATACCAATTCACAACAAGTTATGATCCATATCAACGACCTAATTTACATGAACAAAAAGTTTAAGACATCCTATTCCTAACCTCGAAATCCCATGTACCATACAGATCAGGATCGTCTTTGTTGGCCCAGACGTAAGTTTTTGTTTGCAGTTTCTCTGAGCTCTCCTGTAGATTTGAAGAAGGAAACGAGAAAGAAAATTCAATTTTTTTCTGCATCTAAAATCGATTTTTTTTTAATGAATTCAGCTTATAATAATTATCTGAAATGACTCACTGTTAGCAAAACTTGGACGTTCTGTCTTTCATACTCAATATCCTCAAACTCATCTAAAATGTAAAGTTCATCATCTGTGATTCCAAATAGTACCTGAAAAACAAAACCAAATTCCCCAATATCTTAAAAACTGAAATACTTAGGAATCTGATTCGAATCTTCATCGATCATCACAAAAAGAGAGAGAAACCTTGCCAGAGACTTTATCGGCCTCAGATGGTAAAATCGCGGGATAAACACGTCCTTTGATGCTGAATCTATGGCTACAAATCCCAAATTCCACCATCAATTTTCCATGGATTTCAAATTTCAACAACCAAAATCGATCACCGAAGGAGAGAGAGAGAGAAGGAATCGCACAAATCAGGGAGGATCGCGGAGGCAGTGCGAGGAACACGCTTGAGGAGGAGGCGAACGACGTCGTCCGCCATGAGACTGCCGTAGACGAATACACTGTGCATCGCCACTGTACAACTCATCTCTTCTGAAAAGGGAGCTTCGTCGGAACTCGGAGCTAACAAACTAGTGGTTATAGCTTTCAAATGTGTAATCTAAAGAGAATTTATAAGGCCAAGGCCCAGACAGAGCCCACTGTAGAACGGACTAGAAATCATAAGGCCAAGGCCCACATATTTGGAAATCACAAAAATAGAAGAGAAAAATAAAAATAGACGACTCTGCTGGGGATCGAACCCAGAATCTCTGGTTTCGTAGACCAGCGCCTTATCCATTGGGCCACAGAGTCCTTTACGTTAACGATTAGTATTGTAGTAGTATAATCACACAAATTAGTTGTTTGATTGTTTCCTAGAAACCTAGGTCAGGTTTTCCATTTAACGACAAGGTAAAAGCTTCTCACTTGTGACTTGTGTGATGGGTAATGTTGCAGTTTTACAATCAGTATAATAACATCTCTTTCTTTTAAACTTTGGCGAATAAACTCTAACGTATTTTGTCGTAAACCCTTTCTAATTTTAGCAAGGAGAGAATCGAAGTCAATGACTTTTTTGCTTATCCCAAAGCTCGGATTTTCTTCATTTCATTTATAGGTAAGTTACTTTTAAAGTTTGGATACTTATTACATGTTCTAGATTACATGCGTGGAAACTAAACGTTTTCCAAAACGGTAGAAAATTTCAGCTAATAGGAAAGAGAAGTCTGAGAGGTCAAAGAAAAGAGTGGCGGAGAAGAAGGAGAAGCGTTCGTAGAGAGAGAGAGAGAGAGAGAGAGAGAGAGAGAGAAACAAAAAGACAATACGATTATTATAGAAACTCTCTTTCTCTTCATCCTCTTATTTCGCTTTCCTACAAAATTAAACAAAATGAAAAATAACTCAGCAGTTTTGGGGGAAGAAGAGACAAACCCAAAAAATTGAACGGGAAACACCCAAAAAATTGGAAGAAGAAAACCCATCTTCAGACCACAAAAAACGTTTTACTGAATATTGAAAAATTCTGAAGGAGAGAAAGAGAGAACACACAAAGATGTGGTTGGCGAAAAACAATAGCGTGGGAGTCAAGGAAGGAGCATCCACCGGAATTGTAGCTGTTGCTATAGACAAAGACAAAAGCAGCCAACACGCTCTTAAATGGGCCGTTGATCATTTGTTGCAGAGAGGCCAATCCGTTATTCTCGTCCATGTCAAGCTTCGACCTTCTCCTTTAAACGGCTCTTCTCTCCATGCTTCCTCTGCAAGTAATAAAAACCCTAGTTTCTCTTCCCTTGTTCTGTTTTCCTCTGGTTTCCCCTGTTTCTGATGATTTGCGTTGTTGTTTCAGAGCTGAGCCAAGAGTCCTCATTGGTCTGCAGAGATCCAGAAGGCGCTTCTAAGGAGATATTCCTTCCTTTCCGTTGCTTCTGCACGCGCAAAGATGTGAGTTTCTTGGTTTAGATTCTTGTTTACGTTTCCTTACTTGTGTGGTTATGGTGTTGTACAATGAAAACTGTGTAGATTCAATGCAAAGATGTGTTGCTTGAAGAGACCGATGTAGCGAAAGCATTAGTCGAATACGCAAACCAAGCCGCTGTAGAGATTTTGGTGGTTGGTACATCAAACAAAGGTGGCTTTCTCAGGTATAAAAATCAACTCTCGTTCCTCGCCTTCTTCATGTTTTCTTGAATCTTGATTTCTCCATTGAATGATGATGAATCTTGTAGGTTCAACAAGCCAACAGATATTCCAGGGACCATATCGAAAACCGCTCCTGATTTCTGCACCGTTTATGTCATATCAAAAGGAAAGATCTCAACAATGAGATCAGCTTCTCGTTCTGCACCAGCGACTGCTCCTCTACGCAGTCCGACTCAACCACCTAGCTTAAAGCCACCTCAACCTGTGCCTTCTACTTCCACTACCATGCGAGGTTCCAAATTTTTAAAAACACAAAAGCTTCTTTCACTTTCTTGATTTCACCACCTTACAAGTTGTTTTCTTCTTTATCTTCTCTTTTGCAGTTGATAGACGATCTTTTGAGTCTCAACAACGCAGGTCTATCGAAGATCAACAACGAAGATCCATGGAGGATCAGCAACGAAGATCCATGGAGGATCAACAACGTAGGTCTATGGAGGATCAATCAGAGTCCTTCAGGTACATTTCTTCTTGTGTTTTCTTCATTTGGACATTGATCTTGCAAAAAAATAAAAACTCACTGAAACTGAAACTCCATGGATGAATACACAGATCTCCTTTTACTAGAAGAGGCAATGGGAGATCATACGGAGACCTATCTGTTCCGGAATCAGACATATCTTTTGTCAGTTCCGGTAGACCAAGCATTGACCGTATCTTCCCTAATCTCTATGACAACAATAGTGATCCAAACCGAACTCCTCCTAGGCTGTCGAATATCTCTGATATGGACTATGCTCCTAGCTTTGAGTCCTCCAACTATGGAAGAAGATCGGTAGATCTGAACTCACCTACTGATATTTCATCAGGCTCGTTTGAGAGTGAAAGATTCTCATCCGCTTCAGCAATGGTAAGACCAGTAGTCTTCTTTTTGTCCGGTCTATAAACAGAGTTACTAAAATCTTGAAAATTACCAAAATGTAGGATGATGTAGAGTCTGAGATGAGGAGGCTTAAATTAGAGCTGAAGCAGACAATGGAAATGTACAGTACAGCTTGCAAAGAAGCACTTACAGCAAAACAGAAGGTAACTGTTTCCCCAGAAACAAATGTTATTGTTCTTCGGGTTTTGTTCCTTAATGTGTTTGGTAATTTCACAGGCGACTGAGCTTCAGCGTTGGAAGCTAGAAGAAGAGAGAAAGCTAGAAGAGGCAAGACTTGCGGAGGAAGCAGCATTGGCCATTGCAGAGAAAGAGAAAGCAAAGTCTAAAGCAGCTATAGAGGCGGCTGAAGCGGCTCAGAGGATCGCTGAGCTCGAGTCTAAGAAGAGAGTCAACGCGGAGATGAAAGCTCTTAAGGAGTCTGAAGAGAAAACAAAGGCACTCACCGCTTTAGCAAACTCAGATGTAAGGTATAGGAAGTACTCCATTGAAGAGATTGAGAGTGCAACAGAGTATTTCGCTGAGAAGTACAAGATCGGTGAAGGTGGTTATGGACCGGTTTACAAATGCTATCTTGATCACACACCAGTTGCTGTTAAAGTTCTTCGTCCTGATGCAGCTCAAGGAAGATCTCAGTTTCAACAAGAGGTGAGGGAATCAATTTTCTCTTAAATTACTATGTTTCTTTCTCATCTTAAGAGTTTTTTTGATCGAACTGAAACATTAGGTTGAGGTATTGAGCTGCATTAGGCATCCTAACATGGTTCTACTTCTTGGAGCTTGTCCTGAGTGTGGATGTTTAGTCTACGAGTTTATGGCCAACGGAAGCTTAGAAGATCGTCTCTTCAGATTAGGAAACAGCCCTCCTCTCTCGTGGCAGATGAGGTTTCGAATCGCCGCAGAGATCGGCACAGGGCTCTTGTTCTTGCACCAGGCTAAACCAGAGCCACTGGTTCACCGTGATCTCAAACCGGGAAACATCTTGCTAGACCGTAACTTCGTCAGCAAGATATCCGACGTTGGTTTAGCAAGACTGGTCCCTCCATCGGTCGCAGACACCGTGACGCAGTACCGCATGACCTCGACCGCTGGAACGTTCTGTTACATCGACCCGGAGTATCAACAAACAGGAATGTTGGGTGTGAAATCTGATATCTACTCGCTCGGAATCATGTTTCTGCAGTTGATCACAGCAAAACCACCAATGGGTCTCACTCATTACGTCGAGAGAGCGCTCGAGAAAGGGACTTTGGCAGATTTGCTCGACCCGGCTGTACCGGATTGGCCAGCTGAAGATACAGCAGAGTTTGCTAAGTTAGCTCTTAAATGCTCAGAGCTAAGGAGAAAAGATAGACCTGATCTTGCTAAAGTTATATTGCCAGAGCTAAACAGATTAAGAACACTTGCTGATGAATCATCACATTCTGTACTAGTACCAGGACCATCTCCAAACAAAAGCCAAGCTTCTGTGAAACTGGTGAGAACTATGATAATAATAACTGAAAACGAAACTTGAATCGATTAAGCTTTATGTCTTATTCTTCTTCACTACAACATTTTGCAGGAACAGATGAGTGGTGCTTCTATCTCCGTGCCTCAGTAAAATCGGTATACACAAAAGATTGAGATATAACTTGGAGGTTACGGTTTTAACTTTAAGTAAACAAGAACCCTCAAATAAAAAGTGAGGAAGCTTTTAAAAATGGTTATATGTAAATGAGAAACTGAAGAACTTTGCATGATCCTAGTATAAGGAGATGCAGTAGAGAGTCTTTCCCTTGTAGAGAAAGTGTTTTTATAAATTGTACAGCTCATTCTTATTATTAACCAAATCAAATATCAAAGATAAATGCATAGTCCATAGAACGAGAGATATTGCGACAAACTTGCCAAAGGCTATGAAGTTTTCAATCACCGTTTCACTGAAACAAAATCTGCAACGTTGTGCTATCGGTTCATAATTATATCAATGATATTAGAATCTTCATAATGTAATGGATTAATTCAACAAAATATTTCATATTCCAAATATATTCAAAAGAGAAAGAAAAAACCCGTTTAAAATCTCCCACTGTGACATTGCATAAAAAAAGAAACACAATTCTGCGTAGCTAAATGCTTTTTTTTTTTCCTAATTTATGAAGTCTACAAAATTGGCACCAAAACCCTCAAACAAGTAACCGGAACTAGACTTGGAACATACACATTATTGCAATAGTACTTATACAATCTGTAGCTCGCTGTCATCTCATCTTGTTTTTCGATCTTATCCTCGCGTATTTCGTAAACATTGGTGTAACAATTCTTCTCCTCGGAATCTTCTCCCTCGCACAATAACATGATCTTGTTGGTCTTGTGGATGAAGTATTTCGGTGAAATGCTGCGAAGGGAACTGGATTGTGATATTGAGAGATCAGGAGTTACATTAAAATACTTGGTCCATGAGACAACCCCATCGGTCAACTTGCTTGTAACCCAAACCTCCATCTTTAGATACCTAACTTGATGTAATAAAGAAAGCCTATCTCCTCCGAAACCTGACAAGAGTACTCTCTGATGATAACTACGATAACATCTAGTTACCTCTGGAACACAAACTATGGGCTTGAATGTTTCTGTGGAAAAATCAAAACTTTGGATGAAGAATTCGATTTTAGAGTTAGCCATCTTCTTCCGAGCCATCTTCTTTTGAGCAATCCAGTACATGCTTCCATTCATAGACACAGATTGCCACAGTATACGGCATTCGAGAGTAGCATCAACGCTTCTCCAGAGTTTAGACTGAAACTCATATATCTCAATCTCTAATGGTAATCGGCCTTGATTGATCCTCAAGATCTTGTAGTTGTCACGGGATACTTTGTCGTATCCAAAACCGTACATATCATATATTTCGTAAGAATTCAAGGGTTCGATCCATGTGACTCCGCTCAAAATCGGATTCCAAACAGCGAGCCCTTTTATGTTAGGTATACCTCTCTCAGTAGTACACAATGATAGCAATAATCCGTCGCAGTGAATCGTTTTAATGATTTGTTGAATGTGTAACTCCTCTGAGAATGGTAGACACAATCGAGCATTGGTCTCAGGATTGAAGATATGAATCAATTGATCATCAACATCAAGTCGTACGAATCTTTCCTGAGAGAGACCCAAGTGTTTGTAGATGAATCTCTCATCGTTGAAGAGAGCGTACCATTGTTTGCATGTCGTTTTGAACCGTACCAACGATTCGATCGGAACCTTGTAAAGTATCACTTCTACTAACTCTAAAGGCAGCGACAAGGAAAGATGCTTTGGCGAAGCCATCGAAGAAAATTTAGAAAACTAGGTCATCAAGATAACACCAAAAAATTTGCTTTATATACCACCCTAATCGATAATTGAAAAGAAAAATACAAATTTCTTTTTTTTTTAACGTCAAAAGCATGTTTATTTATATAAAATTAGTTTAGTACCAGCATATATACAGGTTTATGATAACAAATTTTAAATTCGTTAAAATAATTTGAAAAATAGAAAATAAAATTAACTCATTAATATATATTAAAAACATAAAATCGATATCTAAAAGTTGTTTATTTTAATTCTCATTTGTTTGAATTAAAATATTCAAAACACATGATCTGTTGGGAGTCCTTAGCAATATTAAACATACTTCACTTATAGTTCAGTACTTTATCAACTATATTTTTCTGTTTTGACTGTATTAAAAACTTGGATATGCAATTCAAGTTTTTCAATTATGTTAATTTTCTCTCCATTAACTCTTTCCAAGCAAACAAAATTTCTCTATCTTTCTACATGCATCTCTAGTATATGATTTCTTTTCTTTCTAGAGAAATTATACTTCCCAAGAATCATGTCAAAAGCTTTTTTACATGATTTTTGTTGATCTTCCTTCTCATTGAACTCATCATTAGCATCTAAGATTTCATTTCATGTAATCCTGTTGTAAATTTTGCATGCAATTATTTATTTTAGAGTTGTCTAATTATTAAATATTGGAAATACTTTAGATGTATACAATATTCAGCAAACAAATTTTAAAAGATAAAAATTTGGAATACTGAACGAATCATAATTGATAAAAATTTGGAATACCGTATAAAATGTTTTATGTGTTTATATATATGTGGATTATATTTTTGATTTTTAAAAATTAGTGTTTTAGATTTTTCTAATTTTCCAAATCGAAATATTTCCTTTTATTAAATTTTGTTCTTTTTTTCCCAATTGTATTTTCCTTTTCTTTTTAATTAACTTTAGTTCTTTTTTTCTAAATTATATTTTTATTTTTCTTTTAAGATTATTATTTTAATTTATTTTCTTTTTCTAAACTGAAATATTTTTTTGATTTATTTTTAGTTTAATTGCGAAACATGTCAAAATCTGATAGATTGATTCGTCACGTGTCGCGATCATATGAATTACTAACTTTGATGCATCCAACTTTATATAATAAAAAATTAGATTAAGATTTTCATATATATATATTTTAGTTTTTGATTTAAATATTTTTTTTTTTGATTAATATATATATATATATTTATTTACCTTTTATTTTTTTGGTGTTTTTTTAATTGCAACATATGTTAAAATCTTATCGATTATTGATATCTCCATTATTTATACATCATGCATTATCTCCTTTTCCATCTGTGGGAGTGCGATCCCCATCTCTGCCGTGATCTCCAGCAGGAACGAGGGTATTGGAAAAGTGAGAGACTTGAAATACTGCCAGAAGGCACACCTGTATCCGCTCGCCACCTTTTGAGGAGTCTCCGATTTTCACGGCCTGAGAATCTCGACCCCATAGTTAATTTGAAGCTCCTCGACTTCGTTGGAGATCATCTTCGTGGTCACACGAGGACCGCGAGGAGCCGACACTTTCGTACGGTGAAACCCGGGAGATACACCCGCGGGATCGCCCTTCTCCTTTTTGATCGCCATTAATTTATCAGCTTGATTGAAAGTCGAATCGGCCATGGCTGAAGAAAATTAAAAGAAAAAACGAGAATGGACAAGCAAACGAGCAGAAGAAAAGCCCTAAATGTTCGATTTCAACTAACGACACAGGAGTTCGTCTAAATCAAAAATCTTCGTCTAGGTTTTTGGATCGATACGAACAAGAACAGAGAAAAAGGGTAAAATCAAGCGATAATAAAAACGATTCTTTAAATAAGAGAAGAAGGAAAGAGAAGTTACCTTGGAAAAAAGTGGGAGACGTGTGCGGTTAATGAAAAGATGAGAAACTACATTATATGCAGTAATCATTTCGGTGACCAAAAGCAAAGAAATAAAAATCTTTTAAAATAAAAGATTTTTCTCCTCTCTCTTATTGGAAATCTCAACCGTCTTATCAATGATAAAATTGAACAGTTTATTATTATCTCGCTTTCCGATACTCGTTTTAATTTGATAAGACTAAATTCAAAATTTTATTCGTCCTTATCATTTAAGGAACCTCTCAGCGTTTTTTTTCTTAGCATGAGTCAGCGGCTTCTTGTCTCGTTTCTCATCCTTACTCCAATGAACCCTCTCCTGAACAGCCACTTCTTGATTTTCTCCCTCTTGTGTTGTCTCCTCTCTTGTTCTTTTGGGAGCCATAGTGCCTAAAACAAGATTCTCAAGCAAGAGAATAAGCAAATCGACGATTGTAGAGAGAAAGAGAGAAGCAAGAAAGAAAAATTATAACTAATACCCTAGAATTTTGGGGGATTTATAAAAATCATAGCAAGATAATAGAGAATCATATCAAGATAATAGAGAATCATATCTAGAGATGTAGTGAAATCTAGAATTTTTCCTATCATCAAGCTAATTTTTTAATATGACATATCAGCAAAATGACATCAATGTAATTACTTGAAAAAATAAGGTTAGTCTCTAAAAATGTTTTTCAGTTAAGAAAAGTTTTTTTTGTGTGCTCTCTGGGTGGCCTAGTTTTCTCCAGACTTCATAATTTTAAGAAATTTTTGTCTTTTCCTTTTTAATAATCGATTAGGGTACAGTATATAAAGGAATCTTGTGTGTGCTCTTGGTGACCTAGTTTTCTAAAATTTCTTCCATGACTTCTTCCTTGTCGTCGCTGCCTTTGGAGTTAGTAGAAGAGATATTTGTCAGGGTTCCCATCGAATCGTTGGTACGATTCAAAACGACAAGCAAAGAATGGTACGCTTTCTTCAGCCACAAGAAATTCATCTACAAACACTTGGATCTCTCCCAGGAAAGATTCATACGAGTTGATGTTGGTCATCAGTCGCTTCAAATCTTCAATCCTGGGACCAATGCTCGGTTGTGTCTACCTACCCCAGGCGAGTTACACTATTATACTTTTGGAAAAGCGATTCACTGCGACGGATTGTTGCTATCTAATTGTAGAATATTTGAGGGAGGTAAGTATCGTAATTCAGTTAAGAATCTTGCAGTTTGGAATCCAATGATGAGCCGAGTCACATGGATCGAACTCTCGAATTCTTACGGATTATATGATGTCTACGGTTTTGGATACGACAATGTATCCCGTGAAAACTACAAGATCTTGAGGATCAATCAAGGCCTATTATCATCAGAGATTGAGATATATGAGTTTAAGTCTAAACTCTGGAGAAGCGTTGATGCTACTCTCGAATGCGATCATATGTGGGATTATGTGTCTATGAATGGAAACATGTACTGGCTTGCTCGAAAGAAGATGGTTAACTCTGAAACCGAATCATTCATCCAATGTTTTGATTTTTCGACAGAAACGTTCGAGCCCATATGTTGTGTTCCAGAGGGATTTTTATGATTTTTATGACACAGTACTCTTGTCAGGTTTCAGAGGAGATAGGCTTTCTCTATTACATCATCATCATACAAGTGGGAAGATAGAAGTGTGGCTTACAAGCAAGCTGGCCGATGGGGTTGTCTCGTGGAGCAAGTATCTCAATGTAACTCATGATCCCTTAGTATTACCCTCCACTTCCCGTCGCAGAATTCATCCGACATACTTCACCCACAAGACCGATAAGATCATGTTATTGTGCGAGGAAGAAGATTTCGAGGAGAAGTATATTTACACCAATGTTTACGAAATTTGTGAGGGTGTGATAAAATAACAAGATGAAGTGAGAGGAAGACATAAACTGTACGAAAACCCTTGCAATGTGTATGTTCCAAGTCTGGTTCCGGTTCCTTGTTCGGGGGAACTCGGCAGTGGAGAGCAAGTTGGAACAGAAGAAAGCAAGCCAAAAAGTATGTTTAGGTTTTGGTGCAAAGTTTGTAGTGTTGGGGCTATTTGTAGAGAAGCCATGAAGATGCATGAGTTTGGAAAAAGGCATAAGACTACCATTCAATTACAGAACGATCAGACGGCTGATTCAACCTCCATCATCACACTGGATGAAATTGCGTTTAAAGAAACGGGGAAGAAGACAGAGAGGATGATCATTCGGTGCAAAATTTGTAATATTTCTACGAGTTCTGAGGATGTGATGGAGACTCATAAGCTTGGCAAAAAGCACCAGGCTCGGCTTAAGAAACAGTATATTTCTGAGGATAATAAGCATCTAGCTGTTTTAGAATACCGAAATCATTACAGTCCCAGCTGGGATCTTTAAATGCTGATCCTGGAGAAAGAGGATCAGTGGATCACATACAAGTTCCTTGGAATCAGAGGTTAGTACTTCAAGTGTTTCTTGTTTTTGATGAAAACGAAGAACACATATGTCTAAATCCTAATCTTTTGTCTTTTTCTTAATAAAAAAGTTGTTTTTGATGAGAATCTAGAACCTGACAGTATTGTCTCTCTTGAATGAAGTCCATATTTCTTCTTCTTGTTAAGGCAGTGGGAAACGGATCAGAGCATAAATTATACAAAGTACCAAATAGATTTGATTTTATTTTACTAATACTATGATAAAAGGAAGAATCTCACTATTTATGAATTATGATAGACTCACTTCCGAATGTTGGGCTGATATATGTTTGTAGTTACGTTCCTCACTATTTCAATGATACAGAAACTGCATTTGTGTGTACCAACAAAAATGACGCATTTGAAACATACGCAACATAGATTAGTTTACCAATCTCATTACGAGGCCAAAAAGTTGTGACAAGCTTAAAATACATAGGCAAAAGCAGAGATCGTGTTGACTCTGGTTTGTTGTTCTTCTACAATCGAAGTGTGCTGCTTTTGGCAAAAGCAGGCGAAAGAATGAAGTTGAAAGAAGACAAGATGCGAAGAGACGATGATCATCCACGAACCAAACATGAAACCAAAACGGTGATTATATTGCAGAAGCAGGTCATCTTTTACTAGCAGACATGAACAAAACGTCTTATAGATGAGATCCAGTGTCATTAAGGGAACACATTCTGCGAATCGTCAGAACTCAAAACACCTGAAAGGTATAATAAGTACCTGCTAGTGTAACAAGTGCAGCTCCTCAGCCACTCGTAAAGTTCAAGAAAAGAAAAGCCACGGAAGTTAAGAAAAGAAAAGCCACAGAAGTTTTGTAGAAGACAAGCAGAAGCAGAAGAGGTTTGAGGAAGAGCAAGCAGAAGCCAGAGGAGTTTTCAAACATAAAAGCAAGCAGAAGCCAGAGGAGTGTTCAAACATTAGAGCAAGCAGAAGCAGAAGCAGAAGCAGAGGCAAGTATTATGAAGATGCCATTGCAGGTCAACCAAATTTAACGAAGAAGCCTCAGGGCAGAGTAGAGAAGCAGAGATAAGCAATGAGGCAGTAGTAGAAACCCGAAGAAACCTCGACAAAATAAAACAAAAAAAAAACACAAGGAAAAAACAAAGAAAATGCATAGGTTTTTAGTAGTAGAATTTCTGTTTCAGGTCTCATAAGAACTTGGGTACGAATTTTAGAAGGAAAAAAAAGAACTTTGCCTAAATGCAGATAACACTACGTCTTCATATCCAAACGCAATAAAGAAGCATCCCGTAAAAGCTAAAACATGTTCTCTTAGTGAATTTTCACAGATACTAATTTCCCCATAAGCTGTCCTCTTAATTGGGATGTGTAGTCATATGAGACGGGCCGGTCCTAATCGATTAGGGTACAGTATATAAAGGAATCTTGTGTGTGTTCTTGGTGACCTAGTTTTCTAAAATTTCTTCCATGACGTCCTCCTTGTCCTCAGGGTTCCCATCGAATCGTTGGTACGATTCAAAACGACAAGCAAAGAATGGTACGCTTTTTTCAGCAACAAGAAATTCATCTACAAACTCTTGGATCTCTCTCGCTTTCAGGAAAGATTCGCGCTAGTTTATGACTATAATCATTGTAAGTATCTGAAGAACTAATACCATTGTAAGTACTAGGTATTTACCCGCCTTAGGTTGGGGGGTATTTTTTTCATATATTTTTAAGAGAAATTCCCTCAAATACACATAATCTAAGTTTTTGTTTCATATATACACTAACACTCTACAAAATTTCTTCCATAACATTTTGTACCATATTAATCTTAGTTAGACAAAACATTAGTTAACAAAAAATTAAAAAATAATGTACAAACAAATGTATCAATGGTCAAGACTGATCTGAAATTCGAATTATTTGTTTTGTTTAGGATCTCTCTTCTTATTTGATATTGATTTGTGATTGTGAATCTCTTAGATCTTTGAGGTTTTTTAATGGGAAAGTGATTTCGGAATTTAAAGCTCAAAATCATATAATGATAGATAGATCTGATATAATTGGGTGAAAAACTCAAGAAACTTAAGCTAAAACAGCATCAATGGTGAAAAAAAAAAGAAATCGGCAAAAATTAGGATTTGGATGTCGCAGATGTGAGGAAGGAAACACAAATTTAGGAAGATAATCTAAAGTTTTAGGAAGACTTTCCTAAAATATATAAATTAAGAAAATTATTACATATATTTAGGAACGCCTTCGTAAATCTTATAATTGATTATTATTTTTATAAATTTATACAACTCAAATTAAAAAAACCATTCCCGGAAGCCTTTCCACAATTCAGGATACCTTTCCACAATTCAGGAAACCCTTCCACAATTCAGGAAGCCCTTCCACAATTCAGGAAATTTAAAAAAAAATTAGGAAAGCTTCCATAAACCATATGGAACGATGTTAAATTCTAGTATTTGGAATACTTTCCTAAAAAAATCACGCAACATTAACAGAAAAAAATATTTACGAAGACTTTCCTAAAGGGTAAAATCAGAAAACTCAAATAAAAAATGTTAGGGGTGGAAAAATTTCAGCTTCCCTGTTATATTTGTCCTGAAAACTTATTTTCAATGTAATTATGGAAATTGCCCTATTTTTAATATAATAAAATTATTTCTATAATGTAAATGAGTATTATATTTTTTTTTTTATTAGCTTAATTTATGTATTTATATGTTTTAAATCTGAATAAACATAATATATCATTAATTTTTTTATTTTTCAAAATTATAATCTACTATCAAATTTACTTAGCTAACTATTTGTAAATGTATATGTAAGAATAAATTAATACATTTTTAAGTACCTCCATGCTAATGATAAATGTAATTTATTTTCTCTACTAAATTGCTACTGGATCCTCCTTTGAAATTATATAAAGCAAATTGCCATTTAAAAACAAATAATTAATATGATTATTTTAAAAATTATAAAATTTATTTATTTATGAAATATTTATTATAAACATATGTTTCTAAAACTACCAGACTATAATCAATAACATTCATATCAAAACCATTACTATTGCTTTAGAACTAAATAGAAAGTTCTATTTGAACTGTTGAAAAATCAATTTAGTTGAAGTCAAATAATTCAATTTTGGTTATTATAAACATATTGTAACTTGAAAAATGAGTACAGAGAAATTTTATCTTTTTACAAAAATCAAAAAATTACATTTTCAGAAGAAAAAAACAAAAAAAATTATTTTTCCACGAAAATGAGAAATCGCTTATTCCCGCCAAAACAAAAAAAAAAAATCATTTTCTCATCAAACCTGAAATTTCATTTTCCTACCAAAACAAATAAATTGCATTTTCCCTCAAAAACCAAAAAATCACATTTTTCCGCGAGAACCTGTGTTTTCTCGTCAAAACAGAGAAATCAAGTTTTTTCACCAAAATCAAAAAAATTCATCTTCGTGCAAAAACCAAAAGATAGTATTTCTCCTTTAAAACCAAAAAAAAAAAATTTTCCGCAAAAATCGAAAAATCGTCTATTCCCACCAAAACAAGAAAAAATTATTTTTTCTCGTCAAAATCAAGAATCACGCCTTCCTACAAAAACAGATAAACCACAATTTCCCGTGAAAACCAAAAATTGCATTATTTCCTGAGAAATTGCATTTCTCACGAAAACTAAGAAATCATATTTTCCCTCAAAAACCAAAAAATCACATTATATGTCAAAAACTGAAAATTTGAATTTTCCATCAAAACCAAGAAATTGTTTATTCCCTCCAAAATCGAGAAATTTTGTTTTTCTAGTAACCCGAGAAATTGCATTTTCTGTCAAAATTGTCTAATTACAATTTCCCGCGAAAACTAAGAAATCACATTTTCCCGTGAAAATCAAGAAATTACATTATCCATCAAAAGCCAAAAATTGCATTTTCTATTAAAACTAAGAAATCGTATTTTTCGTCAAAATTAAAAAGTTGAATTTACCTCGCATTTTCTCGTCAAAATCAAAAAAAAAAATTTTACCAAAACCAAAATTTCACATTTTTCCGCCAAACCCGAGAATCCGCTTTTTTCGCCATAACCGAGAAATTATGTTTTTCTACCAAAACTGAAAATCACATTTTTCTACCAAAACCAAGAAATTCTCTATTCCCATCAAACCCAAGAAAATTTGTTCTCGGTAACCACTGGAAATGCGAATCTCCAAGCTGTGGTGGTCTGAGTTTCTCCTCATCTGCTTTCAACTTCTATTTTTTTTGTAAACTTTGAGCTTTTTAATGGGTAGCAAAATAATAAACTGATTTTATTAGTGTGTTAATAATATGTATTATTGTTATGTTTTTATTGGTTCAAATTTTTGCTGATGTGTGAGCTTCTTATAACATAACGCTTTTTACATTGTTGTTATGGAAACATAGTTGATGATGAGTCTACACTTTTTTCAATCATATACGTCTATATCAAGCAAACACATATAGTTAGAAATTTTAATTTTTTTGCTGTTATTTATTATTTGAGTTTCGGTTTGGCAAAAATATAAAACAAAGATTTAATTTTTTTATTTATTGTTATTTATTATTTAGATTTGGGTTTGGTAAAAAAATAATACAAAATTTTTTTTTTGCTGTTATTTATTATTTAGGCTTGGGCTTGGGCTTGGCCAAAAAATAAAACTAAAATTAACAATAAAAAATATTTGAGTTTTTAATGGATTTAAATTTAAAGGTTAAAATAAATTGATGATGTATTAATGAAATGTTTTTATTGGTGTTTTTTTTTGCTGAAATGTCATCTCCTAAAAACTTGAAAATGCTGATTTGTCAAGCTATGGAGAAACACTTGTGTTATTGTTGTGTTGATTTTAATAGAAAAAAATTCAATAAGTATATATATATTTTTCAAATAATCTTAAATAACAAAAAAAATTCCAATAAGTCAATATGTACACGATAAATTTTCAAAAAGTATAATTTTAATAAAATTTTGTCTTTATCTTTTCAATAATCAATTAGCTAGAGTATATAAAGGAAAAAAATTTGTGTGACCTAGTTTTCTAAATTTTCTTCCATGACTTCGTCAAAGCGACGTTTCTTATCGCTGCCTTTGGAGTTAGTAGAAGAGATACTTTACAAGGTTCCCATCGAATCGCTGGTACGATTCCAAACGGTATGCCAACAATGGCACGCTCTCTTCAATGACAAGAGATTCATCTACAAGCACTTGGATCTCTCTCAGGAAAGATTCGTACGACTTGATGCTGATCATCAATCAGTTCAAATCTTCAATCCTCAGACCAATGATCGATTGCGTCTACCCTTCTCAGACGAGTTACACATTCAAGAATTCAGTAAAACGATTCACTGCAACGGATTATTACTATCATTGTGTATTGACATAGGTATGACTAAAATAAAAGGGCTCGCTGTTCGGAATCCGATTTTGACCGGAGTCACATGGATCGAACCCTCGAATTCTTACAGAAGTTCTGATATCTACGGTTTTGGATACGACAATGTATCCTGTGGCAACTATAAGATCTTGAGGATCAATTTTGGCATGTTACCATCAGAGATTGAGATATGCGAGTTTAAGTCTAAACTCTGGAGAAGTGTTGATGCTACTACTCTCGAATGCAATGCACTGTGGGGATCTGTATCTATGAATGGAAACATGTACTAGATTGCTCGAAAGAAGATGGTTAACTCTGAAACCAAATCCATCATCCAAAGTTTTGATTTTTCCACAGAAACATTCAAGCCCATAAGTTGTGTTCCAATGGGAACTGAAGGTTTTCGTATGAATTCTCATAGAGCACTCTTGTCAGGTTTCGGAGGAGATAGGCTTTCATTATTACGTAAAAATGTGAACATTGAGGTTTGGGTTACAAGCAAGCTGTCCGATGAGGTTGTCTCGTGGACCAAGTATTGTAATGTAACTCCTCATCCCTCAATGTTACAGTCCCCTTTCTATCACAGCGATTCTTCGACATATTTCATCCACAAGACCAATAAGATCACGTTGTTGTGCGAGGAATTTGATGTCAAAGAGAAGTATGTTTACACCAATGTAGGTCCGGCCCAGAGGGGGTGAGCAGAGGTGCATCCGCCCAGGGGCCATCTCTTTTACAAAAAATATACACTTAAATAAGGGTCCAAAATTTTTAAAACAATAATAAAAGCCTACATATTTGATTTGTGAGGGGCCCGTTTTGTTAGTTTTTTTAAAAAAGGCTTATAAGTTTGATTTAGTTTTCTTAGAATAACATTTATTTAATTTATAATTTGTTTTTCAAACTAAAAAAAATCCCAAATTTTTTTTTGCCCAAGGGCCTATATTTAGGTTGTTTATGAAATGCGTGAGGATAAGATCGAAACAAAAGTTGAGCTGTCAAGATACAGATTGCGTTATTACCGTTGCAATAATGTATATGTTCCAAGTCTAGTTCCGGTTACTTGTTTGAGGGAACTTGGCAGTAGAAAGCCAAAAGAGTATGTTTAGGGTTTTGATGCCAAGTTTGTAGACGTTGTGAAACAGTCGTGAGTTAGGTAAAAAAGCATTTAGCTACGAAGAATTGTGTTTCTTTTTTATGCAATGTCACAGACTCACAGTGGGAGATTTTAAACGGGTTTTTTCGTTTGTTGAATTTGGAATATGGAATATTTTGTTGAATTAATCCTTTACATTATGAAGAATCAAATATCATTGATATAGGATTATGAACCGATAGCATAACGTTGCAGATTTTGTTTCAGTGAAACGGTGATTGAAAACTTTAGTCTTTGGCAAGTTTGTCGCAATATCTCTCGTTCTATGGACTATGCATTTATCTCTGATATTAAAAATTGGATTATAAGAATGATCTGTACAATTTATACAAACACTTTCTCTACAAGAGAAAATTAAAAAAAATATTAATAAGAAAAATTGTTTCTCCAAATTATCCGTATTTATTTGGTTTTATATTGTTTGATAAAACAAAGCCATCCATCCAACTGCTATGAAAAACAAAAAGAAGTGTATTACAAATTTATGTTCATTTTGTTATGTTAACAATAAATAATAATAAAATATATTCTTTCGATTTCATTTTAACCAATCTATAAAGATTTTACACATATATTAATAAACAAAAATTTAATAATATTTTTATTTTTTCTTATAAAAATTCATATTGTTTTAACAAAAAAAAAAATTCAACCAATGTAAAACAAATTTACTACAACTAGTTAAAAATCTGAAAATTAATATTGCATTGAATATATAAAAATTACTTTAAAAGGAAAAAAACTACTTTTTGCTTAAACATCAATTAAATTAAAATAGAACAAATATAGTTTTTTGCCAAATCAATATTGATAAAACAAACAATTCAAAATAAACCTGCACATAGAGGGGAACATCTCCCAGTTATCTATTAAGACAATATTTATTTCAGATTTTTCTATTTAAAAATGCTCAGCCAAGATTTGCGAAAATCTACTTATATCTATTTTCATTTCAAAATTTTATAAACCGAGATTTATATTTATTTTTGTCTAAGATTTCCAAGAGTAATATTCTTTTCATTTTACATGAGATTTATGAAAGTAATCAATCTTTTGTATAAAATTTTGTATTCTTTAGCGTCAGAAACAATTCAACACTTTCTTTTTGATCGTCCTGTTTCCATATCAGCTTGGAGGTGATCAAAAACGCCTTTTAACTTTCTAAACATCCCATTACATAAGCTATTATTCGATCAATCCTTTACACAACGAATTGACAGCATTTCTTAAACAGATAAATTGCTTTCTTTTTAGATCATGTATATTTGAAAATTTAGAAATAATTTAATTTTTTCTAAAAAAAAGTGTCAAAATTGGCAGAAACGTACGAAGCATTAGCGGATGCATCATAGTGGATTAAGGCCAATGACCAACAACATACTCCTTGCACTTCTTCTACACCAAAACGTTCATGTGAAAGACCTCCTCCACCCTACTTATAATGCAACTACGACGCAGATTTTAATCCCCAACACACAAAAAACTACACATGGATAGATTTATTCGTGATCCAGATGGTAATAACAAATACTGGGGTGCAATAAACCTAAGATCAACAACATCAATCCTTGAAACCGAAGGCAAAAGCTTTATTATAAGCGCTATTCAAAATACTGGGTATATGGACTATTATGATTCACGGAAACTGCTAGATTTTAGTGAATTTAGTCCGCAATAACGACCAAGATATTAGCATTTTCAATCTACTAGAGGATATTAAAACTTGGCTGGTTAAGTTTTGTAATGTAGAGGTTGGTTATATAGAAAGAGTTGTAATATTGTAGCACATGAATTAGCTGTCCACTAAATAACTTATTATTTTCCTCATTAGATAACAAAACCTTTGTATTCTGATTATATCAATATTTATTATATAATATTAGATATATTAAAGTTAGTAATCAACATCATTATGACAGGTGATAATTTAAATTGATAAGATTTAGACATATATTATGATTAAAAAAATCAGAAAAAATAAAAGGTAAATAATTGATGAGTGGTTTTTGACCTATAATCAAATCCTACACACATTCGTATCATTGTAGTATGTAAGTATCAATTCATTAGGCAAGTAAGACACTAAAAATGCAATAGTTCACTTAAGTCAAGCCAAATCAAGATAACAAGTGTAATAAACTCTAATGATTAAACTAATCAAGACTAAGCAATGCAAATTCAAAAATAGAGATTCATATAGATTAAAGCAAGGATCTAAGATGTGGGTTATTGATTACGAAGGGATTAGAACCAAACTAATGATGCTTCAAAACCATTCAAACAATGCTATCTTCTAAGTATATAATTAACAGCAATAATTAGCCTAATTTCTTGGTACTAATCAATTTGCTAAGCACATATTCTAGACAACTTCCATTACTGAACAGATGATTAGCAAATATTCAAACAGAAATCCAATCCTATAAAGCCAAAATGTTCCTTAGACATCTAATCCCTTATGCTAAGATAAACAAATTCTCTAAAAGACTCATTGCATCATTTCATCAAACACTTATCAAGCATAAGAGAAAGCCAAGATACTAAACAAGTCTGGCCAAGACAAATCTAGTGTTAAGCACATCTAATAGAGAGAAGACAATCATATTAAGTACAAGACATCATTAATCTAATCTTAAAACCCTTCTAATCGATCTCATCTCAAACCCTAAATAAAACTACTTACTAGTCATGATCAGAACCACATATTCCAAACAGAAGTAATCGCTAAGCATGATTAGAAAGCAGATTATACAAGAATAGATAAAGAGAAACACACAAATTCACTAAATCAAGCAAGGTCTTACAAAGATGAACTCAAAAGGGAAAGGTTTTTAATGCAAAAACAGTAGAGAAAATAATAAGATAAGAGTTGTCTAAACATTTTAGGACTTAAGTATTTATATGGAGGCTTAGAAACCCCTAGTAAACCAAGATAAAACTGGTTTTTAGGCTGACTCGGCTGGACCATATCGGTATCTTCAGTCGATATGCACATCGATATTGGCTCTCTTTGAGGGTGTATCGACATGGTATTGGTCGATACGGTGATCGATACAGTGCGCTTCAGGAGTGTATCGGCTTGACTCTTCTCGGTGTAGACACTGATACAATCGCCCTTTTTCTAAGGCATATGGAGCAAAACCACATCGATATGCTCTTTGATATCGCCCCGTCTCTGGAGTACCAGCTTCGATTCCCGATACACTGCTCGGTACAAGCTCATCCTGGTGTATCGAGGTCTTCCTGGTCGATACTCCTCTGTACGCCTCACTTCTTCTGTATCGACATGAAGTCCTTGATATCCAGTCCGATACATGCCATATCGGCCAGTCCACCTCGATATCTTGCTCGATATTGGTCCATCCGACCTTGTCCTTCTCCTTGCTCCACTCCTAGCTCACATCCATTGCACCACTTGGTATCCAAACTTCTTCTAGTACCTGAATAAAAATCCAAATGCAAACAAACTGCAATGCAACACCTACATCTACACTAACTCCTAAATATATGCAAATGGGACAAGAAGATGCAAGATATGCATGTTAAAGGACTAAAACTAGTGATGAATGCATGCTAAGATGGTATAAATAATGGAGATATCAACACCCCCTCCCCCCCCCCCCCCCCCCCACACACTTGCCTTTTGCTTATCTTCAAGCAAACAAACTAAGACAAGAAGGGAGTGAGGTTTAAAAGTGGGCACTCAAATCCAAAAATGCTAAGGTAAAAAAGTGAAATCAATGTCCAGGTGCCTAATTGTAAGATGCAAAACATAATCAGTTATACTTTAAAGAACTTAGCCATGCCTATCCAGTTTCAAAATGATCTGTAGCTTAACTTAGTCAAATGCTCAAATCAATCAACTCTTTAACATTCGATTAAACTATGTAACCAATGAATCATGTTCAAGCAAATCAAGTGGAATTATTTGGTTAAGGGATAAGGTCATGAGATAAAAATGATCTCATCAAAATGTGGGTTCAAATGCAAGGGTTTCTCTCAAAGAAGAATGAACTTAGGCATAATGCTAAAAATGAAGCACAACTTATGCATACAAGGATATATTGCTATCTACCCAATGCCTAAATTGTTCTAAACCCCAAACTAATAACCCAAACCAAACCCAATCCTAACTACAATTTTATTAACACTCTTATACTCTCCACACTTGACCATTCTTTTCAGGGAAGCTTCTTCTTTGATCTCACCATGTTGTGGCCTTTTTTTTGCTCCTTTATTGTGGGCGCCTTCTTTTTGTAGTGGAGAGTCTCCTTTGGTTCATCACTTTGATGCATTAGGCTTTTTTGTCTTCTTTGTTGTTACTGAGACTCCATCTTTATAATGGCCACCCTTTTTGAGCTTATTTTGTTCCACAAATGCCGAACTTTTGCTTGCTTCCTCTTTCTCATTCCCTTTTCTTTCCCCTTTCTTTCTTCTCTCACCATCTTCTTTTAGATACACATAAAACTCAAATCCGCCCAGACCTATAACTACCATCCTAATCCTATGTCTAACTCAAAGTGAGAGCTAGTTATACATAGCAACCAATCCTTGTAGTGCCAACCTAACACTTTATGCTTAGTTCATTCAAAAATAGGTCTCACATACAAAAATAGTGTTTAGGCTTGAAAGGAGGCTAAGGTTAAGGTGTGGTAACTGTCCCTTAATGGTGAGGATCAGCTATGTGGACTAGCAAGAGTGGTAAAAAAGAAAAAAAAAAGTCCAACTATGTATGGGTAATCCATGAAACCACTTTTCATTGCAAAAACGTGATAATTATCAAGTCAAATTTATGGTTCTAATAAATGGAGATGACTTTCAATAAACTAATGATTTCAGCATGAGACTAGAGGATCAAAATTTAGTATTCAAGAACATGGTTCAGCCTTAGTTTCTAACTTTTTATGATACATCAAACACTTAACCACTTAGACATTGAAATCAATCCTAAACACTTAGCATTTTATAAGGAATTATCATCATTGTGCCATATGCAAATGCAATGCAACCCTATATGAAAAACACTAGACTCAATCTTAAACAAATGAATGCAACTATATAATTTTTTTTGTTTTTTTTTGGGGTTTTTAAATGCACTCAAATGAATGCATGAGACTCTTATGCAAATAAAAATTAAGAAAAGAGAACACAATGTTAAATACACCAAGCTCTCTCCCACACTTAAATTACACAGTACCATTGTGTAATAAAAAATGATTGAGAGATGCAAAAATTAAAGAAAATGTGCAAAGCATTAAAATGGTATATACAATGGAGGAGTTTTTGGTACCTTAGAAGGTGTGTTTGGAGGTGTAGGAGGTGCCTGAAAGATCCTCCATGATGTCAATGTTGTGGCTCCTATTAGGCCTCTCCCTCTTTATGTTGAAAGGTGTGCCAATGAAGATGGTAGATAAGTTAGTACCTAAGCATACGAGGAAGCAATGTTCTTGGCTTGGTTTGTAATTTCGTCAAAAAAACTCTAAACGTAGCACAAACACATCAACACTAATTGCATCTCTCTATCTTTCACGATCTCCAAAAATCTTATATATACCCTTTGTTTGTTGTATGAGTAAAAAAAAAAGAGTTAGTATTGTGGTTGGTTTATAATTTAATAGCCACCAAAGTATGTTTAATCAAGAGATTTGTATTTGTGCTTTTGAATCTTTCTTTCCTTAGTCTATAGTAGTAATCTCCATTAAATCATCAAAGCATTGCTCACTGTAGCAAATTCATTAAAAATCTAAACCAAACTTAACTGAAAAATAAACCTATGAGAATGATAAAAAAAATATGTGGCCCTTTTTTAACCAAACCAAGTTTTGGATTGGGCTCGTGTGAGGCTTCTTATGTAGTCGTCATCGTGGATTTTTTGAAGTGTTAAGCCTACATTGTTTCTAGGATTTGGTTTCTCTCCAGACCCAATTATAAATTTTATTGGAAGAGTTGTAAACCCAAAAATACAAAAAAAATTAATTAATTATTATTATTAATTTTTTTTTAAAGTAACAACTGGTTATTATTCACAAACCATTGTAAGCAAACACACTCATATCTTTTTTCAAGTGGAAATTGAACCAATTTATAGTGCCTTAGTTGAGGTTTCTATTGGATTTAGTTCGTTAGGTTTGATACTGTTAAAAAATAATATAAAATAAATAATGTAAGAATCACTGAAATACTTAAAATTAATTAAACAGTGAAAAATTCTAATAAAGAAAATACGTATCCAATTAGCAGAGTCTCAAGAGACTAAAAAATGCATAGTCGTCACAAGATATGACGAGATGCATAATCTCAGTAGATCTCTTCCTCCAATTGTGTCACTTGACAAATTCATGTTACTCATAGTTTCAGAATCTCCATTTGAATCTTTCATTTCAGATGTTAGAAAATGATCATTGTTTCATATAATAATGACGGAGAAATGGTTTTGATTGAAGAAAGAGTTTTTTTTTGTTCAAAAGAAAGAGATATCAAGATACTGAAAAAGAGAAGTTTTAGCGTTTTATTGTTGGCATCTTTATTTTCTTTCAGATTCAATATTTTAACTGTATACTATAATTGTCGACAGTCTCCGATGATATAAGTTTAGTATGTGTAAGATCAACATTTAATATTATACGATTGAAATAACATATGAGCTCACAAATGAGACATAGTAAGAATAAATCCTAAGCTGATAACATTTAAATATGAGAACTATAAAAATATGCCAAAAATTTATGAACATGTCTTAAGTGAAAAATGGTTATTTTTATTTGTTATAAAACAGATTAACATAAAAAAATAATAATAAAGAAAAGGATTTCTATAAAATAAATAAAATTTTGTATTAGAGAGTAGTTTTGTTGTGAAATTTTACGTTTAAAGTATTTTTTCGTTCAAAATGAATATATATGAGAGTTAATTTCAATCTTGACATTTTACATTCACAACTTCATTATGGCTTTACATCATCCAAGTGTGTATTTAATTGGACCTCAACTCATCATTACAACCATTTATGTTCATAACAAACATCTACTACAAATATTTTTTCAAGAAGACTCACATTTACACACAAAAATTAAATGATGTGGCATAAATAAACGTTAAGATGGTTTTATTCAAAACTTTAAAGTTCAAAACACTATTCTAAATTATTCTACCTATGCCTACATGTTCACAAAGTCTCTAATCAAGAAGTGGTAGATCATAAGATACTTTGAACATGTTTTAGAGAAAAATAACTAGATGGGTGAGCAATCATTTTTCAAGTTAGAAAATATGAAACTATGATGAAATTAAGTAAGCTGTCATTTGAGTGAACTTTTGTATCAATTTAGAGGGATGCCAGTTTAAGACAATAAAGATAATACCGTGAATCATGCTTTTGATGGGAGGGGATTCGGTTAGGTGCAGTCTTGCGCTTTTTGATCACCAATACTCGTAACTTAGAAAACCAGCTTCATAATAATTAAAATTAAAAGCGGATTTATGAGTTTATTTAGTTGAGAGCACATAAACTTCTTCAACTATAAGTAATAAGTGTGTAACTAATTTTAAATCATGAATATTTAAATAATTTTTATACTAATTACTACTAAAGTTAAAAATTGCACATAAACACGTTGCACCGTATATGTTGCCTTACATCCACCTCTGGTGAAAATTAGATAAATAATGATTATAACACAAAATACAACTAAAATAGAATTTCATATATTAATTTTATATTTTTAAAATATGCAGATAATATTCATTATAATATATTTTCATTTTGTCAAAGTATAGCATTAAATCAATAAAAAGACAATTAAGAAATAATTTGCGAAAAATGTAATTTTTTCGGTTTTGGTAAAAAAACATGATTTTTGGTTTGACGAAAAAATGAAATTTCTTGGTTTTGATGGGAATATAATTTTTCAATTTTTGCAGAAAATGAATTTTTCGGTTTAACGAAAAAATATAATTTTTTATTTTTTCTATTTAATAATTTTTTTTAAAAAATTGCATTTTGCTTTATATCTTTTACAAGGATCAAGTGGCAATTTAGTGGAAAAAGAATTATATATGTCATTAGCATAAAGATACTTAAAAATATATTACTTTATTCTTACATATACAATTATAATTAATTAGTTAAACAAATACGATAACAAATTATAATTTTGTAAAATAAAAAAAAATTACAATATACAATGTTTATTCAGATTTAAAACATATAAATACATAACTTAAAGTAATAAAAAAATAAATATAATATTTATTTATATTATAAAATAACTTTATTATATTACAAATATATATAAAATATCTCGCAGCGCGAGTAAATATTTAGTAGCATTTTAAAAGTTATAAAACAAAAGGAGGATCAAGGATAAAAAAACGACTTTTTATATTTACAACAAATGTATTTCACATACACTTTTTATTACTCAAAAACATCTAAATTTTTGTTCTTGTTCTCCATTCATCATTTCAATTCACTTTCTTGTTTTTCTTTTATAAAAGCTCATAATCATATATATATATATATATATATTATTAAATGACGACCCATGTGTTTTAAGTTATCGCTATTTACATATATTGAACAATATAATGTCTACTGCAACAATAATACTCAAATTTGTAATACCACAAATATACCATGTATATGATTGGTTACATTACAAGTAATTATACCAAACATACCCATAAAGATTAACAGTTCATGGCACGAACGATGGGTTTATTGTTTATCCAGCACATAATCAAGGTGCAAAATGAAGTTAAGAAAATGAAGTGCGGACCTTTATTAAAAAAAAAAAAAAAATGAAATGCGGGTTAAAATCAGAACCAAAAAAAAAAATTGAAAATATCTTGGACAAACTACATTTCAATCATTTTTCATCACACAGTATACATTACAACAAAGACAAACAACATTCTACTATGTAAACCAAGAAACAAAGAGTGAAACCAAATAAACACACAACGAACATGGAATGAATCAAAAGACCAAATACGTCTGCACAATAATCTCATCAACGACCAAACTGAATACTGATCAAACACAATCTCTCAATCCACAAGATTAGGATCAAGCCCTCTTGCCTTCCTCGTCTTCCCCACAAATAGATCCCTAGATTTGATCAATCCAGGTACACAACCAGAAACTGTGAAGAACGGGAACTGAGCCACCGAGTCCTTTCTTCCTAAAGATATTATGGCAATATCCGAACCAGGCTTGTAGGTCGACATCTTCTTCTCGTTGCCACCAGACATCAAGTGCTTTATGTTCTTAGTAGCCACAGAGGCATGTTTCTCAGCAATGTAGCCTTGTTTCATCTCAGGGATATCAGTTATATCTCCAATTGCGAATACATTCTTGCGATCCTTAACTCTCAAGTACTCATCAACCATAAGCCTTCCTTTACCATCCAAGTTATCTTTCAGAGAAGTTCCTTTTAGCCATTCTGAAGACAAAGGCTTTCCGGTGCAGAGGAAATAGCAATCCGCGTGTACCGTTTCTCCTCCTGAAGTTTGGTATGTCTTGTTTCCGTCCGACGCTGAGTTCAGATCCACCCTTTGGTTCAATATGACTTCAACTTCCTTTGATTTAAGCCAGTCGAAAGCCTTGTCTGCAGCTTTTTGACCAACAAACTCCAACAACCTCGGTCCATTGTGTACTAGGGTAACCTTCTTCTCCGGGAAATCGACTGCAATCTCCGCAGCAAGCTCTACACCCGACGGGCCTCCACCAACAATCAGAACCGACTCAGACGACTTGATCTTCTCATATTCTGCAACCAAATAGTTCAGAACAATCCATGCTGGATTCTCAAATCCCACTACGATATCACAAAAAAGGCCAGACCGGCCCAGACCAAGTCCTGCATCCTGATTCTCAGAGATTTTTTTACACACGACACAAACTATATATTTTCACCTTCAAGTTAGGATAACTAATGATCCCTCTACAACAGATACTTAAGTTAGCATAGGATCGATTATTCAAGACTCACATACAGAGTATGCTACTTCATACTTCAAGCAAATGAGAAACTAAGAGCAACGCACCATTAACAAGAGTTTCTCGAATCCACATACTCACAAGACTTAATCTTCTCACATTCTGCAACGAAATAGTTAGGTGAAAGACAATATAGACCAAGTCCTCCTGCATCCTGATTCTCGGAGATTTTTCACACGACACAAACTCAATACGTAAGCTGTATTATTCACCCTCAATGTGTCTCTAAACCCTTCAAGATATGATAACAAATTACCTCTTTACGAGAGATTGAAAAAATATTAATCAGCCAGAGATCTTTGCTAGACGGATTGGCGATATTAGTTAGCATAGGATCGGTTTAAAGAGTAAGCTACTTCATACTTCAACCATTCACAAGCAATTAAAAAACAACACAAACGCGTGGAGTCATACCCGCTTGGTATTGCGATAGCTTCTCTTGCCTGGTCTTCGGAAGCACATCGTTGTGACCCGTAGCAATCACAAGATAATCATATCCAAACACAACCCCATCTGCAGTCACTACATCAGTGTTCGTGATATTGACCGCCGGAGAAGTCACAACACGGCCGTTCTGTATGTACTTCTTGTGGTTGATTATCGTTCTTTCAGCGAAAGACGGTTCCACCATGGACCTCAAACTTGCCCAGGTTATCTCAAAGTACTCCTTCCTGATATCAACCAAATTTCACCTCACATAAAAAAAAAATTCCATTGTAGTGCACAAGGTAAAGCCAAGAAAGTCACCTTCTAACAAATTAAGCCATACCCTCATTGACATCAAGTTCAATAATGCATTTGCTACAAGAAAACACCTCATTGTTCTCCGATCAAGAAACATAAACACAAAATCTTTTAATTCTTCTTGTAAGCAATTTTGTAAGACGTAAGAGATCCTTAGCAAAATGTAAAGCATAAAAAAGCCATCGTCTAACAAATTAAGCCAACCTCATTGAGATTAAGTTCGATAAGGCATTTGCCCCATAATGGCTACCACAGATACATATAAACAATCCGATTAAGAAACATAAACACAAAATCTTCTAACTGTTTCATGTAAGCAATCTTGTAAGACTTAAGAGATAACTAAGAGAGAGCAACAAAACAACAGTACTCAAATTGTTGATTAGTAATTTACTGTGTGAGTTCTTTGTCGTTAGAACTCGATCGATCAAAGATCAAATGAGGAAACAAAACGGTGGCTTAAGAATTACTAACCAAAACTTAACAAAAATAAATATAGAAAGCCACTTACGGGTCGATTAGGGTGACATCGGAATCGAACTGAAGAAGTTTCGAGGCCAATGATCCGGCGATTCCGCCGCCGATCACCACCACCCTCCGCCCTTTTCCTGATTCAGATTCTGTTCTTTCCATTTTCTCGATTCAGACTCCGAATTAGATTGTTCTTAATCTCGGATTTGCTTTCTCACAGATTTTATCATAAAGACCGGTGAAGAAAATAGTCTTCTAGGTGAAGGTTTGTCGAAGAGGGATAAAAACATGTGTGGTTAACGCGTTGAGTGACGTCATAACCGACGTCGCCTCTTCCACGGTCGCCGGAAGGATCCTGCGGTGTTTCCCTGATCGTACGTCATCGGGTACGCTAATTGTTTTTGTTTCCTCGTTGTCAATTCCTTTTCTTTCTTTCCTTTTTTTGTCGTCAATCAATTTCTATTTTTTTCTTATTTTTTTACGAAATCATCTGAAATGCCACTTAAATATTTCCCTTAAAAATAAAATTAAATTTTGAATTATTTTTAATTGAAAATTTGATTAATTATTTTGGAAATTTTAAAAAATTGGAAGAATTCAAAACTCAGTTTTTATTAAAAATAAAAAAATTGTAATTTGCTAAAAACTTTTAATTAAAAATTGAAAAACAGTTCAAAATGAGTTAAAAAAAAATCAAACAACATAGTCTAACGAATTTTCAAAAAAAAAAAAAAACATAGTTTAACGAGAATTGAAAGAAAATTGAGAAGGAGAATAACAATCAAACTCGACGCAAATCGAAAAGATAAGTCTAGAGTGCATACTGTGCATGTTGATAGTTTTGATATGATTCTAACTGATTGTTGCTCACAGAGAATGGCACCTCATAAAAAGAATGTAAAGCATGGTGTGGTAGATGGATTTCAGTGAAAACCCTATCTATAGCAACGAAGATGATGTCGGAAGTAGCAGCCAAACTGAGATCGACCCAAATTCAACAGTATGTAGATCGTTTTTTAGTGGATCAATTAGGTAGAACTTGAGAAAACTACATGATTTTGAATGTTGGATATTTCCGGAATTGTTCAAACAAGTAGTCATTTCATTTCGTGTTTGTTATTGAGTTTGGGTTCGCATTGGTTCTTACCATTACATCTTTATTGATCTTTTGGTTCAAATTTATAGTTTATGATATTATGAGTGTTTAGATATTTTTAATAAAATTACTATGAATGTTTGATATGTTTGAAACAAAAATGTAACACTGAAACAGAATATGTATAGCAGGATTCGAAGATAAAACAGATCAATGCAACTTTTGTAGATATACTTCCAGCCGATAGAGTATATAAAAAAAATCTCTACGAATTGTTTTATCACTGAAGCGGTAAAGACACTTTCAATGAAGATAAATCATGAAACCACAAGATTAAAAGTATGTGGATGCTCCATTTTCAAATGGCATATACTTGTGGATGTATTTATCCACACTCGAATATTTATAAAGTGTTTAGGTTAATATAGAAAGATGATAGGTAAAAATCTCTTAAAAAACAACTGAACTTAAGATTGAGAAACGGATAAATGTACTTTATTGATCAGATAATCATGGTCATTAAGAATGATAAAGATGAGCTTATATCTACCAGGACTATTACAGGACACCGTAGCTTAATCTTGCTACTAGAAAGGATCATTTTCCCTTGCTTTTTATTGATCAAATGCTTGAAAGACTTTCTAATCATCCCTACTATTGCTTTCTTGATGGATATACTGGATTTTTCCAAATACCAATTCATCCAAACGATCAAGAGAAGACGACCTTTACATGCCCTTATGGCACCTTCGCGTATCGAAGGATGCCATTCGGGTTGTGTAACGCTCCGGCTACGTTTCAGCGATGTATGATGTCGATCTTCTCTCATCTAATAGAAGAGATGGTAGAGGTGTTTATGGACGACTTCTCTGTATATGGTGCGTCTTTTTCTGTGTGTTTGTTGAATCTTTGCAAGGTACTAAATCGTTGTGAAGAGACGAATCTTGTGCTTAACTGGGAGAAATGTCACTTCATGGTGAAAGAAGGGATCGTGCTTGGTCACAAGATATCAGAGAAGGGCATTGAGGTTGATAAGGCTAAGGTTGAGGTCATGATGAGTCTTGAGCCGCCGGTTAATGTCAAAGGAGTGAGGAGTTTCCTAGGCCATGCTGGCTTCTACAGGCGCTTCATCAAGGATTTTTCCAAGATTGCACGCCCTCTCACACGGCTGTTGTGCAAGGAAGCTGACTTTGTGTTCGATGAGGATTGCCTTCATGCTTTCGTGACCATCAAGGAAGCTCTAGTATCTGCGCCTATAGTTCAAACACCGGACTGGACTCTACCGTTCGAGATAATATGTGACGCGAGCGACTACGCTGTGGGAGCGGTTCTTGGTCAAAGGAAAGACAAGAGGCTGCACGTGATTTACTATGCTTCAAGAACCTTGGATGATACGCAAACAAGATACACTACTACGGAGAAGGAGCTATTAGCAGTAGTGTTTGCCTTTGAGAAGTTCAGAGCTTATCTAGTAGGAGCCAAGGTTGTTGTCTACACTGATCACGCGGCGCTTAGATACATCTATTCCAAGAAGGATACTAAGCCAAGGCTCTTGAGATGGATACTTCTTCTTCAGGAGTTTGACATGGAGATTAAAGACAAGAAAAAGATAGAGAATAGCGTGGCAGATCACCTATCTAGGTTGAGGATCGATGAAGCCTTACCTCATGATGATTCGCTTCCGGAAGAACAACTTATGGTGATCCCTACGGCTGTTTGTGGAAGTGTTTGTGGAAGGCTAGAAGGACGGTTTGAGGAGGTTCTGAGTTTCAAAGAAGAGGATCTTTCTTGGTACGCTGACATTGTGAACTACTTGGCATGTGGAGAGGAGCCTTCGCATCTTGATAACTATCACAAGAAGAAGTTCATGAGAGACGTGGGCCACTACTTTTGGGACGAGCCTTACCTGTACAAGAGGGGCGTGGACAGTTTATACAGGAGATGTGTTACAAAGGAAGAAGCTAAGGACATTCTCTTTCACTGCCATGGCTCTTGGTACGGCGGACATTTTGCTTCATTCAAGACCGCTACAAATGTCTTACAAGCCAGTTTCTGGTGGCCGTCTATCTTCAGAGATGCCCATGAGTTTGTGAAGGGTTGTGAAGCTTGTCAACGAGCAGGGAACATCACGAAGAGGAACGAGATGCCTCAGGTTCCTATCTTTGAGATAGACGTGTTTGACGCATGGGGCATAGATTTCATGGGGCCTTTCCCATCTTCCTACGACAACAAGTTCATCCTAGTAGCAGTTGATTACGTTTCTAAATGGGTTAAGGCCATTGCTTCCCCTACAAACGACTCTAAGATGGTGATAAAGCTTTTCAAAACCATCATATTTTCACGGTTTGGAGTCCCCAAGGTTGTAATCAGTGACGGCGGTAGCCATTTCATCAACAAGTTGTTTGAAAACCTTCTAAGGAATGACTGGGCAGTGAAGCTAGACGACGCTTTGTAGGCTTACCGGACTACAATCTCAGAATATTTTTGAAAATACGTTTTTATTACTAGAATAATTATATCATGTGTCATTTATATTAATTGCATAGACCATAGTTTATATCAATTATATATATATATATATATATATAAAATTTAATATTTAATTATAAAAAATTATTTTTTTATTATTTATCAAAAATAACATCATATTAATTATTTTATTATACTAAGTTTCTTCTCTTGCTTTTATTTTGTATAAAAAAGATCATCACATTATTTACATAGTAAAAAATATGTAGATTTTTTGTACATATGTTATAATTTTAATTTTTTATTACAAATAAAAATTATTCAAATGATGAATAAATATAAATACAATTTAAAAGTCACATATTGGAATGAGAAAACGTGGATGGTTCAAAAATAACTATAAAAATACATAGAAAATAAATAATTAGTAAAGGCACAAAATTTAATTTAACAAACATAAAAACTTGATTTAATTTTTTTAATAGAATCATATAAATTAATCAATAATACAAAAATTAAAAGTTAGACAAATGTATTATATCAAATAGTAAAATTATTAAAAATAATTTAATGTGTTAAAAATTATAATATTATGAATAATAATGTTTGATCTAAAATTATTATTTTTTTAGTCCTGATGTACAAATTAAAATACTATTTTGTTAATATTAAATTATAATTTGATCAATTTACTTTTATATTGTAAACATTTTTGTTGGACCATTAAGTTAAGAGTTATAAATATTGATCTTTTATATATAATTTAGATAATTGATCAATAATTAATCATTATTTGCGTTTTTAAATATTATTGTTTCTACATATGTAATTACATCCATATAAAAATTATTTTAAAATTGATTATAAAAATATATAAATAAATATTATTTTTACTCATATCTATTATATACACAATAATAATTACATTATTTTCATTTTAAATAATTTTAAATAATAATTAGTAAAATTATTTATAGATTTTTTATCCTATAAATGGTGCAGGTTATTACCTAGTCGATCATTAAAAGAAAACATATAAACTTTATTTAAATTACATATTTTTTTTCCTGTGAATTGAAAATATACTTTTTAATTTATAAGCATTTTGGGAGGTGAGGTTTATTGGCAAAATACCTTTTGAAATTTGAAAAATACACTAGTTTTTTAATTTTTGAAAACTACAGTTATTGATATATAAAAATACTATTTTGACGAGATTTTAACAAAAGTTTACATATTTTCAAAAATAAAAACTAAAATCCACAATTATTAATATTGAGATCACAAACATATTTTTTCTTTTTTACTTTTCTTATTCAGTAGTCTTTTTCTTATGTTGGATTTGCCGTGTGCTTATTGCTTTCTTCTAAGAAATTTTCTTCATTTTGTTTTCTATTTTGTAGATTTGCAATATTTCCTTAATTTCTTCTACTTTCTCAGGTTAAATTGTGATTTCTTAGTTCCTGTGAGTTTGGTTTGGTCGTCTTTTAGATTTTGGAAAAACATTAGATGTGATTTTCTTGTTGGCCATGAGGCAGAGAAAACCAGAGAAAATATTGGACTAAATGGGAAAACGTGGCTAGAGTTGGAGTACTGGTAAAGAAACAGAGTGTTGAGTTTTGGAAACCTCAGAAAAATGAAGTTCTGTATAACATATGGTCAAGATGCATCTTGCAATAATGAAGAAGTTTTTTTTTTTTTGAATGTAAATATTAAATTAATCCAATCAAAGCCGTTCTTACAATAAATGTATCGTTTGTATTGAAATCAAAGTAAAATTATGGAGCCACACTAATTACTTTACACACAAGCAATCACTGGAATGAGAACCATGTCTGCATTCTTTCCTCGTATTTCTAATCTCCTTGCCGTCTGATAGTGACGAGTCTGTTCCAAACTTGTTTGTCGATCCACTGAACCATTTGAGTAGGAGGGGTAGGAGGTTCGCCATGTCTTCTACCATTCCTTTCTCGCCAAATCGAAAGGATTTGAAATTATTTAAGTATTATCAAATTTTTAAATAATTTTAAGTGAATTAAGAATATTGTTACAATTCTCTAGAATCGCAACCAAAAAGTAAAAACACTTGCTGATGAATAATCAACACAACATGTACTAGTAGTCAAAGGTCCCGGACCATCTCCAAAGGGTAAGCCAAACTTCCGTGAAACTGGTGAGGACCGATAGTAACTGTAGAAGAAACCCATTAAGCTTAATTATGGGTAGACATAATTTCCATAACAGATTTGGTTTTTGTTTTGGATATATTCCTTTTTCCTAACACAATAGAAGAAAATTTCGTCTTTGTTTGTTTTACGCTAATCGATTACTTGAAAAAGAAGTTTATATTTTAATTAAAACAAAATACTACTTTTATTATACCTTAATCGAAATACTTTTTCTAAAAGCAAATTTTATTGAACATAGAGGTGATAATCGAGTCTTTTGCATAGCGGAATAAATGAGAGTTGTTTCATATGTTGTAAAGAAACCAGAAGATGCTGCCCCAAAATGATGATAATATAGTAAAAAATTCAATTCAAAACAACCAAAAATCGATATCTAAAACGTCTTAACGAGAAAAAGTAGCTAAGTGAGAAGAAAAACAAACACCACAACGTCCATGTCCTTTGGCGAGAAGAAAAACAAGAAGCTATTACAATTCTTGAATTTTGAAACCCGAATCAAAAATTTAATCCCAACTCGCTCCTGGAACAGCTGCTGCTGGAGGTGGCACTGTGTCCCATCCATCTGCAGCTGGAGCAGCTGAAAAGATGGGAAAAAAAAACATTTGAAATCAAGATCAGATTCTGATTAAGCAAAATCAAGAAAACATTAAAAATCTTGTTCAAAAACTTACCGCTAGCATCGGTCCAAGAAGCAGCAGCTGCAGGAGCAGCAGAGATTGGCTCCTGAGCTTCTCCAGGCCACGAGGCGTCGGGAATCTGAGCAGTTGTCCATTGGTCTCCTCCGGCTACTCCGTATTCAGGAGGAGGGAGTCCAAAATCTGCCTGTGGTCCAGCTTCTTCGTCTTCTATTTGCTTAGCCTCCTCAGGCTCTCTGTAAAAGAACAGATCCATCTGTACAACCACACACCAAACCTGAGTGAATCACTAAAAACAAAATATCGATTTCATGTAACCAAACGAGAACTGAGTATTCCTCTTACCATGACATCCCATTTCTGTGCGGGACGAATGGTTCCACGCATCTGAAGGACCATACGGGCAAGAAGCCAGAAGAGACAACCAATGCTGTGCTTTCCTTTGTTGTTCGCAGGGATACCAATGTCGACAAATCTCATGGGAGAGTCTGTGTCACAGAAAGCAATGATCGGAATGTTTCCCAAAGCACCTTCCTTGATTGGCTGCAACACACACACATGACGTTAAACTCTCAAAACATTATCGACCCATCAGTGACATTTAGGGCATAAAGACTCATAAAGCTGGAGACTTTACCTGGTGATCGGTTCTCGGGTCTGTAAGAATCAACAACCTGGGCTCACTGAAGGAAGTTTGCATCTGATTGGTGAAAGTACCAGGAGTGTGTCTTCCTGCAATGGCGTTAGCACCAGTGTATTGAGCAAACTTGAGAACAGCTCTCTGCCCGTAAGGTCTCGCGGATTGAACAATAATGTCCTGAGGATTCTCAATCGCCACGATACAACGTGCAGCCATATGCAACTTGTCCCATGTTTTCCCAACGTTGATGATGTAGATACCTGACAAAAGAAGTATTTTTCATTAGAGGAAAGCTGAAGCAAAACTATAAGACCTCTCTATCAGATGCTAAACAGTAACACAATCATCAAATCTAAAACCAAAAGCTGTGGATTCGCTAGAGGAACTAATCTGAGTTTACATTATAATCATAGAATCTCTCTGAACAAACTATAATCTGCACATAACACATTGTATATGAGATTAAAAAGTGAGGAAAGGTCGTGAGAAAATTACCATCGTTGCGTCTCTTGAAAGTATATCGCTCCATTTGGTAATTGCAGTTTTTGGTTCCGAGGTGAACCTCAGCAGCAATCATCATTCGGATGTCAGACTCCTTCTGGGAGAGCTCTACGTTAGTCGCCATGGCTTGTTTCTCTCTTCTTCTTCCTCCTCCTCACGAGCGGCGACGACGAAATGAATAAGAGAGAGTTTTATCAGCGGCGGCGAGAGTGAAGAGAAGGTGTGAGTTTATTAACAGAAGACAGAAAACCCTAATTGATACGCCCAGTAATATTTGTTGGGCTTTAAGGCCCATAGATTTTCGGATTTACAAAATGTGATAATAATAATAATAATATAAAAAATTAAGATGATTTAAAAAATAAAATAAAAAAAAATATACGAGGAGCGAAGAAGACTGACTCGACTTCTCTCTCTCTCTTTCATCGTCGTTGTTCGTCGTCGTCTCTTATCTCTCTCTCTCTCTCTCTTTTCGGCTTGGGATCATCTTCTGGATGAGGTAATCATCAACATTCCAATGTTATCTCTCTCCCATCTCTGCTTGAAAAATCAGTATACATCTTCTTCTTCTGCTTGTTCTTCGCTTTATCTGGTAATCAATAGTCAAAACAATTCGTGGAAAATCCACAACTCTTTTGGTCAGATTTTGATCCAATTTTGGTTGATCAAAATCCAGATTTGGGAATTTCTCCCTCTTCCATTTTCCTTCTTCATTTAGCGTTTCCATGATCGATTGTTTGGTGTTTGTTTCTACTTTCCGTCTTGTTTCTACTTTCCGTCTTGTTGATGGAGAGACCTTGAAGTGAGACTAGTCATAGGAAAGCTGATAATTCAAGTAAAACTATATATTTCTGGGTAATTTTTGCTTATCCTAATGTTGGGGACAAATATAGAAAGGCCTAAAGATGATTGCTTTTGAAGAAGCATCCTCACATAACCATAAATAGAAGTTGCTTATGACTTGAGATTTATTTTTTTGGTGCTTTGTGCAATCAATAGAGTTTCTAAGCTGTAATTTTTTTTTTTGCTATATGTTACAGAAAATACAGAATCAGCGCCTTGTGATTGCTTTACGAAGTTCAAAACTCATTGCATTACAAAGTGTGTTTGAATGATTGGGAAAATGATGGAAGCACCAAAGTTCAACGGGTTCATCGGAGGGAATCACAACAACAACAACAACAACAGTTACTATGAACACTACCAAAAGCTTGAAGGCTCTAACATGTCTATCGACAGTTTACAGACAAGTACTATCGGTGGTTCTGTAGCAACGTCGATGGATAACAGCAGCGTTGGCTCAAATGACTCCAAAACCCACATTTTAGGCCATCCTGGGCTAGGACCAGTGCGTCAGAACTACACCGGGACAGCGGAAAACAGCGTTTACCGTCCAGGGAGCCACGAGCTCAACGACGACGCTCTTGCGCAAGCTTTGATGGATAGTAGATATCCGGTTGAAGGATTAGCGGAGTTTGATGAGTGGACGATTGATTTGAGGAAGCTTCATATGGGTCCTGCTTTTGCTCAAGGAGCCTTTGGTAAGCTTTATAGAGGAACATACAACGGTGAGGACGTGGCCATTAAGATACTCGAGAGGCCTGAGAATGATCCGGAGAAGGCGCAGCTGATGGAGCAACAGTTTCAGCAAGAGGTGATGATGCTCGCAACGCTTAAGCACGCCAATATCGTCAGGTTCATTGGCGCTTGCCGTAGATCAGTGGTCTGGTGCATTGTTACAGAGTATGCTAAAGGAGGGTCGTTGAGACAGTTTCTGACACAGAGACAGAACCGAGCAGTGCCTTTGAAACTGGCGGTTAAGCAGGCGTTGGATGTGGCTACTGGAATGGCGTATGTTCATGGACTTGGATACATTCACAGAGACTTGAAATCGGATAATCTTCTGATTTCCGCGGATAGATCCATCAAGATTGCGGATTTCGGTGTTGCTAGGATCGAGGTCAAAACAGAAGGGATGACTCCAGAGACAGGGACTTACCGTTGGATGGCCCCGTAAGTCTATACATCTCTCTCTCTATATATATACATTCTTCTAGTCTCATTAGCCTTAGTTTGCTAGATCTTCTCCGTTGATTCTTAAAGCGGCTAATAAGCTTTGGTCTCTATGCAAAATCAATTCATAATACTGAAAGTATCTAGGACCATAAACAGATTCTGTCTTTTCATAACAAGAAAAGCATTGATTGTTGACAAGACTTTTGTTTCCTGATATAGTTTTTGCCCACTTGAGTGTTTATTTATTTGGTTTTGATTTGTAAATAGTGTACTCCACTAGTTTCCCAGCAATGGTGATAGTCAACCATGCTATGGTGATTCAGGGATATATGAATCTTATTTGATTTCCCCTTAGTAGAATCTAGCAGCAAGTTGAGAGAAGCATAATGAATATGATATGGTATAAAGTATAAACTTACTTTTGTTTTGCCTTTTGATTTACCAAATGCTCTTACGCCCCACATTTTTTGTATTTTACTGGTCCACTCCTCTGGCTACTTAGTAATACTGAAGACTCTTAACATCAGCTTGTAAGTAGTGGCAAATGACACATGATTAAATATGTAGAATCTGTGCCATCAGAAAGTTGGAGTATTTTCGAATTCTTAATATCACTCAATGCTAGTATAATTTGATTGTGGAAGTTTTAGTGGCAATTTAGCATATCTTGGCCGGTAATTTGTCCATCTATTTGCTTTGATATCTGATCTATGTTTAGTGTAGTATGCTTTTGTGAACTGTTTTGATGCATCGTTTGACATTTTTGTAAAACTAAAATGGAAAGTAAATACTAATGGTGTAGCAAGTCAAACAGAAAGATGGGATTCTACATTCTAAGCATATGCTGTTACATTATTATTGTTGTTGACGAACCTTTTTTTTAGAGTCAACCTCTGAGAATAGAATCCAATTGTGTTCCAGCTTTCTTAGGAATATGCTAAAGACTACAAATAATACTTTTGAGAAAATACCTCGCAATTAGGAATTGGTAATAGTAGAAGTGAATCATGTGATGTTTATTGTTATTGATGGTATATTTGCAGGGAGATGATCCAGCACAGGCCTTACACGCAGAAGGTTGATGTGTACAGCTTCGGCATCGTGCTGTGGGAGCTCTTGACCGGTATGGTACCGTTTCAGAACATGACAGCTGTACAAGCGGCGTTTGCGGTTGTGAACAGAGGAGTGAGACCATCGATCCCAAACGATTGTCTTCCCGTGCTCACCAACATCATGACTCGTTGTTGGGACGCAAACCCTGAAGTGCGTCCACCATTCACTGAGATTGTGATGATGCTTGAGCGAGCCGAGGCAGAGATCATGAACAACATTCGTAAAGCCAGGTTCAGGTGCTGTGTTCAACCTATGACCATTGACTGAGTCTTGCAGAGAACAGAGAGAGACAAGACAGAAACAGAAGATAAGAAGAGAACATAGGAGGAACATTTGAAAAGGAGATGAATATTAATGTGTATATGTATGGTTTATGTATTTATCTTCCTTTTGTGTATTCATTTCACTTGAGTGTGTGTGTGTGTAAAGGGAGCCTTGCCGAATGATTCACCCCAATGTAGTATATTATTTTTATTGTGTAGAAGTTGAGATATATCAAGATTTAGTGACGGTACACTATATTTTATGGCTGTAATGAAAAAGAAAAAATCACAAATTTTGATAAAAAAAAAAAATATTCATTTTGTTTAATTTTGTGGGCTTTTTAACCAAATAACTATATTGAAAAAAGTATCAGAGAATAGAGAATATAGCTATGATATTCAAAAAATATGGAAAATAACCATATCCTACATAAAAAGGATTAAAAACTTTTTTTATTTTAAACCGAGAATATCTATAAAAAATAATTTTAATTATAGAACATAATATTTTTTCGGACTATACTATATAATATATGTTCTTACACGATAAAACTAATATAGTATAGTACTTGAGATTTTAATTACATTTACTATACTATACTATTTACAAAAATAATTACTTCATATAATTTGTATAGTATGATCCAAAAGAAGAGGAGAGAAGAGGGGAGGGAAATGGGAGAATGGAAGAGAAAAAAGAAGGGAAGCCGCAGTAATTAGGGAGGTCATTTGATCCATGTGAAAATTAGAAAAATAACTATACATTTATTAAGTATTTTTAATTGACCTATGTCCAAAATAATTATTGACCCCTCTAGATTTTTAACTGATCCATAATCCAATAAATATTAGTGAATGTTATAGCTCAATAACTATCACAAATAATTGTAAAACAAAAAGAAACCCATTAATTAAGTAAGACTAAAATTTTTATCAATCAAACATAAAATAAAAAGTAAATATTTGTTTTTTCATAAGTCTAATTTACGATATAGGCTAGGTTTCCTCATTTATTGGTGATATATTTTTTAGGTGATTGTATAGTTTGTTTTATTAGAAAACAAGTGTTTAACACATTAACAAACCAAAGCATGACCATGATAAATCAATTCAAGAGATATGAGTGAACTTATATATATGTGATACATCTAAATCTAATGATAGTATATTAATTTTTCTAATAAAGTTTATATAGTTATATTAAAAAAAAATTGACCCATGTAAATATTTTTTCTAGCTCCGCTACTGAGGGAATGGGAAGAGAGGATATGAGAAGATGAGAATGCACACCAGAGGAAGATAAGAATGCATGGGAGAGGAAGGAGAGGTGAAGAAAATAGTCTTTTTGTATATATTGTAAAAGATATAGCCAATATCATAGTACCTACTTTCATATGATTATTTTACAAATTTAGGTGAATGTTATGGTTATATGTGCCACTTTCCCTAATTTTGTCATGCCCCATTTTTGTCAAGATTTTGTTTGTGAAACTAAAGAGTTGTATGTACAAAATAAGGGTTTGGTTAGGTGCAGTATAATTTCCTTGTACACTAAATCTATGATTATGAAAAATTGTAAAAAGTGAGAAAACATGCTTGGTAATATTTATTGTTCTCATCGGATTTTGGGTTTGTAAATAGTTAAATTTATTAATCATTGAAAACAATCAGTTGTAATAAAAATATTTTATCAATTGTACTAAAAATATCTTTACTAATTATTTGAGAAGTTACTTTAGTAAGAAAAGCTATTTTCTCATCACCACAATAAAATTTAGTGCATTTTAAATATGATATGAAAATTTGGCATGATAAATTTCATAAACTAAAAACATATTTTAATTGGTTGAATTAAAATTAAATAAATTATAAAAGTATAGCATAAATACATTAGATTATAACATTAACATTGGCAAAACTAAGTCAACAGAAATGATAATTACTATAATTTTAATTTTTTACATTTCATAAAATATTGCATATAATATGGTTACAAAATTTTTACAATAAATATATATATATTATAATTTCATATAAAAAGAAAAAATAATTAACTTTTTCAGAGAGTTGATGACTATTCATAGCTAGTATCATATAAAAATAGTTCGACCCAATTTTGTTTTTATCCTAATTGATCTTGATCCGACATTAAAATTATATAATTTTCCCAATAATCAAATATTTTTGTCTGTAAATACTGCATATTTGATTTCATCATAAATCGATTTTTTTTCTTACGAGTTCTAGTCTCAATAAGAATACTAGTTCTTACGCTTTATATGTTATGATATGAATATACCACACCAATTTGTTGTATATAGATGATGAGAAGATTCTATTAATACAAAACCAGTTCCAATAGATTTATTGGAGGGTTCTATTGGAGTGTATCCAGTAGGAATTGAACCTATGAATTCACCAGTTATGAGTTGGGGCACTTTAACCATTCAGTCATGAATGCTTAGTGGAAATTCTCGTACATGGTCAATAACCAAATTCCAGTTGAAATAAAATCTTTAGGATAAATCAATGCAATTTAGGAGGAATCAATGAAAGGATATTAGAAATAGTGAGAGACGGGAATTTAGTTTCTGAAAATGCTATATTGCGAACTAATCATTAGAATTTGTATTTCCGGAAGGTTATGAATTTAACTAAACCTAGTACATGTGCAATAAACTTTGTACACATGTCGTTGTGAGCACTAAAGTGAAAACATGATTTGTGATATTATTTGGATTTTGGATTTCTAATATTACTTTCCAAAAATGATATTTTATGAATATTTTATAGACAGCGGACGCCGCGAGAAACCGAAGCACATTAAATGTGCTACAACTACCAAAGAAGACTGTAATGATGCGGTTAGGGTAAGACGTAGCAGGTTGGCAACCCATTCCTCTGGCCACACAAGGAAGAGTCCAGGAATGGGTATAATGATAAAAAAGACGAAAGTTAGTACTCAATCCGGGGAGCCTGGAGACCCGAACCTGGAAGTGACCCGGAATCAGGTATCTCCTATAAAAACCCACTCCTCTCAACAATCGAGAGGAGGAGACATCTAGAACGATCACTTCATCTTCTGGCTTCATTCTCGACATCTTATCACAACTCCAAAAGCTTTGTCGGCATTTCTACGAACCGATAGAGCCCCCCATACCTCATCCTTTCGATAAAGATAAACTCGTTCCGTCCAATCCCGTGTCCTTTTTCTGACTAGAACGTCGGAGCATAATCGGAAGGGCAACCCCTTTCCTGTTACCCGTGTCCTCTGTTTTCCTTTCTGTGACATTGCAGGCTAGCCCATCTCCCCCTCCCCAGAGTTCAAATCTCCCCCGCAATACCCGACGACCAATCAGATCCCTCCACGTGGCATCCCAAAATTTGCTCCCAAACAGTTGGCGCTAGAAGGAGAGGGGAAGAACAAACCTAATATCGAATGAAGGAAGCGATTCGCCGAGCCCACCGGAATAAGGCATTCGAGGGGACTACGCACGGGGTACCACCAGTTAGCACCCCCAATGGCCCCTACAGTCCTGACGTTCCGACAGATGCTCGACTACGAGGACGCCTGCCACCTCCGAGCTGACCTCGAATGACTCACAGAGCGGAACCACCAGTTGGAACAGGAGGCCAGGCGAGCAAGCACACCTCCAGGTCACGCCACCACAAGGCTCTTGGACGCCGACTGCCCAATGATCTCGGTAGGCTGGAATGCCGCTCGGCCCCGGTCCTGAACGCAAAGGACCATTTGCGAGGTTCCACCTGGCGGACGACGCTATGATGCCGGCCACAAACGGAACCGCAAAGGCGGACCACTCCGACCACCTGGATGAAGTCGGAGGCCGCCAAGCTTTGGACGATACCGCGAATTAGGCCTCGGGATAGATGGACCTGGACCAGCTCATTGCCCAGAAGATGGCAGAACACATGGCTATCGACACCCGGCTGTCGATGATCCCAGCGCTGCCCCACGAGTGACCCAGGAAATGAAAGAGTCATATAACGACTCTCCTTTCTTGGAAGAAATCGACAACATCAAAGTACCCAAGAAATTCGGGTACCCTACAATGAAACCTTACGAGGGGACCACCGACCCTGAGGATCACATAGCCCAGTACAAACAAAGAATGTTCTCCGCGTCACCACCGGCATACATCAGGGAAGCATGTTTTTGCAAGGGATTTGGGGTGACACTCTTGGGAGCCACCCTGCAGTGGCTGATCAGCATCCCCAACAAGATGATAGACTCTTTCGCACAGCTGCATAACCTGTTCGTCCAGCAGTTCGCCAGCAGCCGAAAACCAGCCCAGGGCATGGGCCACCTGTTCGACGTGAGCCAGGGGACAGAGGAGTCACTCTGATCCTACGTGACCCATTTCAATGCCGTTAGGATAGAAATACCCGCCTGCCACGAGATCACGGCGGTCCACGCTTTCAGGAAGAGACTCCTGAAGGGCTCCAGACTCTACGAAGACCTGACCAAGAAAGAGTGCTCCACCATGGAAGATGTCTTGAACTACGTGCATAGACTGGTCTGATGGGAAAGCGACCCAGACCACATCCTTGCCGTGGCACCACGCCCCCAGGGATAGCGAAGGGACCAGGAGGAGCCCTCTAGGGGGCACTCGAACAAACAAGGCGGCTACACCGCTAGGGCGTCGGGCGGATACTCCGGATTCCCGAGCCTACAAGTCTCCAGGGGCAGATGCAAATCTTCCAATCAAGCGTCAGGTGACGCGGTCCAGATTGAGATGGCGTTCGATGAACTCGAGATCAACTCCATCCCAATGGTGATGATCGAAGCCCAGAAGACCACCGGACCCGTCGTTAAATGGCCCCCACCCAGAAAGAGGTTCCCGGAAGACCACTCACAGGAGCACCTCAACTACTGCGAGATCCACAAACACAAGGGTCACGCCACCGAAGATTGCTATGCCCCAAAGAAGGAAATCTTGGAGCTCATAGACAAAGGGTTACTCACCTACCTGCTCTCCGAAAAAG